TCCTTAAATATACAGGCTTAGTAAATTGTATTAAAAATATGTTTTGAGAGTTCTCCCAGTGTTCTATACCTTTGTCCAGAAACTTGGTCTTTCTGCTCTATTTAAAAATTAGTAAAATCCAGTAAACAGAGAATATACTAAAATTCATTTCTTTGTCGGGAAACACTTTTGAGGCAGGGTTAGAAAACACAGCTGAAGATTCAAAAAACAAATATTAGAATAAATCATTCATTGTACAAAATTAGCTATATTGAGGTGGATGAAAGTACAGGTCCTTTAGTTATCTCAATTTATGATTTTTTAAAAGGATTTATTTATTTATTTTGGGGGGCTGGGTGCACAGTAGGGGGGGAGGGGAGAGAGAGAGAATTTCAAGCAGACTCTGCACTGAGAGCTTGGAGCCTGAAGTGGGGCTGAATGCCAGGATCCTGAGATCATGACCTGAGCCAAAGGCAGAGGCTTAACCAGCTGAGCCACCCAGGCACCCCGCAATATATTATTTTTGTTAGAAGTTCACATCTTTTACATTAACTTGGAACTTCACTGTTTGTTTTGTGACATGTTATCTCATGTAAAAATGAATTATACCTCCTCCCCAACCCCTTTCTTCTCTGTCCCTCCCACAGATCTCAAATTTTACTAAACAGATGTGGTTGTTTATGTGAGTTCTTTAATAAAACCTATAAAGTCTGCATGCTTTATGATCCACCTTTTGAGGTCTTGGGTCTCATTTCTCACCACCCTTCCTTCTGTACCTTTTGTGCTCATGAACTGCCTTTAAAACCTTCATACTAAACGTTCTCCTGTCTTTCCTGCCTTTACGCATGTTGTTCTCTGTACCCTGAATGCTGACCTTTCCCAGTTTACTTGCTACCTACATTTTAGGTCTTAACCTGAATGGCACTTGCCCTGGGAAGTCTTTGCTCATCTTCCTGGCTAGATCTGTCCGTCTTTCTCCCTCTCTCCCCCTCTTACTCCCTCTCTCACTTTCACTAACTCACCATTCACTCACATGCTCATGCACACACAATTGTAAGCTCTTACATAATATTGTGTATGTATTTGCCTTTTGTTGTACTTATCACAATGAACCATTTTACCTTTATGTGCATGAACAGTTGCAGAGATAGTCATTGACATTATACAGATGAGTGTTAAGTTCCATGAATATAAGCTCCTTGTTTTTATTTATCATTCTGTTTTTCCAGTACTTAGGTATATGAGTGGATATCACGTCAGGGAGTTTGGCTTTCATTCCTAGGAAAAACAAAGAGCCATTGAAGGCTCCATAAAAGTAGTAGTAATGACTCATACCAGAATTTGGGCTTTAGGAAGATTAACTCAAGACTATAGTTGAGTGAAGGAGAATTGAGTGAAGATTAGAGCCAGAAAGATCCATTAGATGGCCCTTATAAATTGAAAAATGTGAGGACCTGAAGTCTTTGCAGTGTAGATGGAGAAGAGATGTTGCATTTAGTAAATGTTTGAGAGACAGAATCCACTAGCATTTGGAGACCAGCAGACTGACTATTGTCAGAGGTGAGGACAAGGAGAGATGACTTAAAGTTCAGGCTATTAACTTTTAGGTCATTTACCAGGTCAATAAGTATAAGATAATTGGCAGTTCAAGGGGGTGAAGGATTATTTGCATCTTAAAACAATTCACAGGCATGACCTTGACCACTGCTCTATAGTTTTTTTAATAGCTTTATTGAAATACAGTGCACATACCATGCCTTCCACCCATTTCAAGTGTACAGTTACATGGTTTTGAGTATATTTATAGACGTGTGCAACTGTCACAACAGTGAATTTTAGAGGATTTTTATCACCTCAAGGAGAAACTCCCTCTTCTTCATCTATTACCCACTTTCCCTCTCCGTCCCAGCTATTTAAAACCACTCACCTTGGGACGCCTGGGTGGCTCAGTGGGTCAAAGCCTCTGCCTTCGGCTCAGGTCATGATCTCAGGGTCTTGGGATTGAGCCCCGCATCGGGCTCTCTGCTCAGCAGGGAGCCTGCTTCCCCCTCTCTCTCTGCCTGCCTCTCTGCCTACTTGTGATCTGTCAAATAAATAAAAAAGTAATAAAAATAATAAATAAATAAAATCACTCACCTGTTCTTTTTCTCTGTATATTTCCTTTTCTGGACATTTTATGTAAATTGAATCTTACCATATATGGCCTTTTGTAACTGTATTCTTTCACTTAGCATAATGTTTCCAAGATTATTCCAAGTTGTAGCAGGTATCAGGACTTCATTTCTTTTTGTGGCCAAATAATATTCCATTGTATGGATATATATCACATTTTGTTTATACATTCATCAGCTGATGGACATTCAAGTTGTTTTGAGCTTTGGGCTATTTTGAAGTAATGCTGCTATAAACATTTGTGTACAAGTTCTTGTGTGGACATAATGTTTTTGTTTCACCTGGTTATGTACCTATGAGTAGAATTGCAAGGTCATACAGTAACTCTGTGTTTAATCATTTGAGGAACTTCAGAATGTTTTCCAAAGCTAGTTATACCACTTTACGTTCCTGCTGGGCTTTGATTTTCTGTGCATCCCTGTCAACACTTGCTGTTATCTGTGTTTTTTATCCTAGTCATCCTAGTAGGTGTGAAGTGGTGTCTCATTGTGGGTTTGATTTGCATTTTCCTCATAACAAATGATGTGAAACAACATCTTTTAATGTGCTTATTGACCATTTGTATATCTTCCTTGTAGAAATATCTCCTCAGATCCTTTGCTCATTTTTTCATTGCTTGTCTTTTTATCATTGAGTTGTAAGAGCTCTTTATGTATTGTCAATAGCCATCTCTTAAAAGATCCATGATTTGCAGATAAATTTTCCCATTCTTTGGGTTGTCTTTTCACTTTTTGATGGTGTCCTTTGAAGCACAGAAGTTCTTAATTCTGCTCAAGTCCATTTTATCTATCTGTTTCTTTTGTGTTTTATGCTTTTGGTGTCATATGTAAGAATTCTTTGCCAAATCCAAAATCATTAAAGTTTGACTATAAATTTTCTTCTAAGAGTTTTGTAGTTTTAGCTCTTACATTTGGTCTTTGATCCATTTTGAGTTATTTTTTTAATACCATCTGAGGTAAGGATCCAGCTTCATTCTTTTGCATATGGCAGTTCAGTTGTCCCAGCACCATTTGTTAAGAAGCATATTCTTTCCCTGTTGGGTGCTCTTGGCACACTTGTTGAAATCATTTGACCACAGATGTTTTTTACAGTGTTTTTTTTTTTTTTTAAGATTTTATTAATTTATTTGACAGAGACAGACACAGCGAGAAAGGGAACACAAGCAGGGGTAGCGCAAGTGGGAAAAGCAGATTTCCTGCTAAGCAGGGAGCCCAATATGGGGCTTGATACAAGGCTCAATCCCAGGACCCTGGGATGATGACCTGAGCCCAAGGCAGATGCTCAACGACTGAGCCACCCAGGAGCCCGTACAGTGTTTTTATAAACAGTGAAACTGTATTTTAAAAAATTCGTACTATGTGGATTTCTCTTTCACAGATGTTTCTGTCATTAAAGATTGTGCTTATTTTTTTTTTTTTAAGATTTTATTTGTCAGAGAGAAAGAGAGAGGGAGGGTGCACAAGCAGGGAAGCTGCAGGCAGAGACAGAGGAAGAAGCAGATTCACTGCTGATCAGGGAGCCCAATGTGGGGGGCTTGGCCTCAGGACCCTGGGATTGTGACCTGAGCTGAAGGCAGATGCTTAACTGATAGCCACCCAGGCTCCCAGATGGTGTTTGTTTTTAAGTAGGCTTTTAGGGATGTTTGTATAATTTTAATACTATACTGTATACTACAGACTCAACTTAGAAAAATGCATAATTTGCACATGTGAAACGGGTTGTGATCATGAAAGATGAGTTTAGAAAGCCATGTTTCTTTCCCTGAGAGTGACATTTTGGCTTCTTTTTTTATTGGTACTTCCTGAGTGCTAGACACTGGACTCTAGTATACAGCTTACAGCTTAAAAAGAGTATATGACAGTCTTTTCCTCAATTTGCTAATTGTTTGTAAGATATTGGGAACGGGCAAAGGAAGGTAATAAAATGATGTGTGAATACCATGTGAGGTTTTTAGTTCATAAAGGTGGTATCTTTTGAGTCCATATAGGTTGTACAGCTTTTTTTACTCTAGTATAGGTTGTTTGTTTGTTTGTTTGTTTGAGAAAGAGAGCATGAGCCTCAATCTGGACGTAGGACCCCCTCCCCCCACCCCCAAGGGGAGGGATTGAATCTTTTTTTTTTTTTTTAAAGATTTTGGTTTTTTTTATTTTATTATTTGAAAGAGAGAGAGAGAGAGATCACAAGTAGGCAGAGAGAAAGGAAGGGAAGCAGGCTCCCCGCCTAGCAGAGAGACCGATGTGGGGCTCGATCCCAGGACCCTGGGATCATGACCTGAGCCGAAGGCAGAAGCTTTAACCCACTGAGCCACCCAGGTGCCCTGGAGGGATTGAATCTTAATCAGGCTCCACATCCAGTACAGAGCCTGACACAGGGCTCGATCTCACAACCCTGAGATCAGAACCTCAGCCGAAATCAAGAGTCAACACTTAACCAGCTGAGCTCCCAGGTGCCCCTAGTATTAGTATTATTTGTTCTTGTTTTTGTTGTTAAACATTTTCTTAAGATCAAGAATCTTAAATTGAAGTCATTTGCTTTCCCAGGGCTCTAAATTAGAATATGAGTACCATGGATGCTGCTGAAAAGAAATGAATAATAAAGAGGAACTATTAGGTAGCTTGATGCTTTTCATAGTGAGTTTTGGGGAAGTTCATTATTGACCACATGATTACTGAGGCCCATCATATGTGATCATTAAATTCTTTCAGTGTTTTTTTCTTTTCTGTATTCCTAGGAACTCAACAGATCTTTCATTGAATTAGCTGGAATTGAATAGTTTAATTTGAAGCATTTGTCACTACGAACCTTTCTCTTTAATGCCACTATATAATTTTCTGTCCCCTTTTTCTTAGGAATCTCAGCAGTCCAGTTTTGGCCCCGGAGAACAAAGTGAGTATTTCTTTTCCTCTTAGTTCTCAAGTTAAGCTTTTTATTGAGCATTCATTTCTCATGGTCTTATGTACATTGCTTTTACAATTCCTTCACATGTCTTATCCCAGTTTTTATTATCTGTTGATTAGTAATGAGTTAAACCAAATCTTGGTTTAAATTAAATTTAAAAATGAAGAATTATAGATTAATGGTGATCAAAATTAACTATTTTTATTAAATATTTGAAGTTCAGAGTTCATGAATTCAGTTTGATGGGTACCTCATAAACCCAAGAACCATTCTTCTATCTTCCTGTCTCCTTTGTGAAGGTAATTGGTTCTGTGAGAGTTAAAATTATAAGCAGGAAGGGGTTGTAGCTTACTGTAGTTCTTCTCTTTCTGTGTCTCTATTTAGTTATTCCTTTTTTTTTTACTGTGTTAAGTTAGTCACCATACAGTACATCATTAGTTTTTGATGTAGTGTTCCATGATCATTGTTTGCATATAACACCACCTAGTGCTCCATGCAGTCCATGTCCTCCTTAAAACCCATCACCAGGCTTACCCATCTCCCCACCTCTCTCCCTTCTGAAACCCTAAGTTTGTTTCCAGGAGTCCATTGTCCCTCGTGGTTCGTCTCCCACTCCCATTTCTCCCCCTTCATTTTTCCCTTCTCCTCATGTCCTCCCTGCTATTTCTTATGTTCCACAAATAAGTGAAACCATGTGATAATTGACTTTCTCTGTTTGACTTACTTGCCTCAGCATAATCTCCTCCAGTCCCATCCATGTTGGTGCAAAAGTTGGGTATTCATCCTTTCTGATGGCTAACAGACACATGAAAAAGTGTTCGTCATTAGCAATCAGGGAAATTCAAATCAAAACCACATTGAGATACCACCTTATACCAGTTAGAATGGCAAAAATCGACAAGGCAAGAAACAACAAATGTTAGGATGTGGAGAAAGGGGAGCCCTATTACACTGTTGGTGGAAATCCAAATTGGTGCAGCCACTATGAAAAACAGTGTGGAGGTTCCTTAAAAAATTAAAAATAGAGCTACCGTATGACCCAGCAATTGCACTACTGGGTATTTATCCCAAAGATACAGATATAGTGAAAAGAAGGGCCATATGCATCCCAGTGTTCATAGCAGCAATGTCCACAATAGCCAAAATGTGGAAGGAGCCAAGATGCCCTTCAACAGACAAACGGATAAAGAAGATGTGGTCCATGGTTCATTTTATTTTTTTTTTAATATTTTATTTATTTGACAGAGAGAAATCACAACTAGGCAGAGAGGCAGGCAGAGAGAGAGGAGGAAGCAGGCTCCCTGCGGAGCAGAGAGCCTGATGCGGGGCTCGATTCCAGGACCCTGAGATCATGACCCGAGCCGAAGGCAGAGGCTTTAACCCACGGAGCCACCCAGGCGCCCCAATGTGTTTATTTTTGCTGGGTCTTTAGGTCTGGGAAGAAAGTCTGCCATTGTAGAACCCCCTTTCACCCCCTGTCTTAGTTTCTGAGAAAAACTTGAGGGAATAATAGCCTTAGGGAATTTTTTTTTTTAAGATTTTATTTATTTTAGGAGTGTCTGAGTGGCTCAGTGGGTTAAGCTTCTGCCTTTGCCTCAGGTCATGATCTCAGGGTCCTGGGATTGAGCCCCATGTCAGACTCTCTGCTCAGCAGGGAGCCTGCTTCCCCTTTTCTCTCTGCCTGCCTCTCTGCCTACTTTTGATCTCTATCTGTCAAATAAATAAAATCTTCTAAAAAAAGATTTTATTTATTTTGCAGAGAGAGGGCACAAGCAGCGGGGAGCGGAGGGCAGAGGGAGAGGGAGAAGCAGGCTTTCCATGGAGCAGGTCCATCCCAGGACCCTGGGGGATCATGACCTGAGCCATCCAAGCACCCCAGCCTTAGGGAATTTAAGTCTGGTCGCAAGAGACGTTGGCTGTGTGAATTGATAGTGATAAGGTCAGGAACCTTGGAAATATCTAGGCTTCCCCATATAGCTCTACAATAAAATAAATGGTCTTTTTGCCAAGAACAACTAACTAACTTCTTTAGTAAATAGATCTACACTGGTTCTGCCCTAAAGCTATAGTTGTAGGAAAAGGGGACCCACCATTGTTGATATGTAGAAAATAGCTATAGGCCAGAAAGTTTGGGTTTGTTTGTTTTTTTTTTTTTAAGATTGTATTTATTTATTTGACAGACAGAGATCACAAGTAGGCAGAGAGGCAGGCAGAGAGTGGAGGAAGCAGGCTCCCCATTGAGCAGAGAGCCCAATGCAGGGCTCAGTCCCAGTCTGGGATCATGACCTGAGCTGAAGGCAGAGACTTTAACCCACTGAGCCACCCAGGTGCCCCCAAAAGTTTACATTTTCTATCTGAAAATCTAAGAATGTCTCATCTTGGGGCGCCTGGGTGGCTCAGTTGTTAAGCATCTGCCTTCCACTCAGGTCATGATCCCAGCGTCCTGAGATCAAGCCCTGTGTGCAGGGAGCCTCCTTCTCCCTCTCCCACTCCCTGTGCTTGTGTTCCCTGTCTTATGCTCTCTCTGTCAAATAAATAAATAAAATCTTTAAAAAAAAAAGAATGTCTCCTCTTTAGTTCTGTCCTCCTCCCCCCATAACTAACTATTGGCAAATGGGATCATAAGCTTCTCCTACTCTTTATTACTGTGTTTTTCACTTAACTATGTCTGTATCAGTGTAAAAATTCTAGCTCATTCTTTTTAACATGAAAATTGTGTTATATTGTATGAATGTACCATAATTTGTTTAAGTAGATCCCTCTTGATAGATACTTGTTTCTAGTTTTTGCTGTTACAAATCATCTATGATAAACATCTGTGTGTGAGTGTGTGTTTATGTATTTTTCCAGATATACCTGTAAGGTAAATTTTTTTTCATCATGATTGCTACATCAGTGGATACGTGCATTTCCAGTATCAGTAAGATAATATTACCAGATTGCCTGCCAAAGAGATTGTATGAATTTATAATCCTACAGACAGCTTCTGAGCATGCCTATTTCCACCAGTATCTTGTATTTATTGGACTTTGAAGTGTTCCCAATTTGATGGAGGGACAGATTCCATCTTGTGTTGATTTACATTTCTTTGAAGGTATACTAATATATATTTTATGATCTAAATGGCCATACTGTAGTTGTTAATTTCTGCATTCTTTCTTTTGTTCTAGAAAGATACAATCCTTCTTCTAAAACTTCAAATGGACACCAGTCTAAATCGTAAGTTTATTGCTTAATGTTTGTCTGTTTTGTTAAGAGTCTGTCTGTAGTGTGTATATATTAACCCAACACTTAAATATGTGTATTTAATCTTTTAAGGAAGGAGTAAGCAAACTTAAGTAAAAGGCCAGACAGTGAAATAATTTAGGCCTTAGGGGCTTAGATGGTTTTTATCCCAACTAGGCAGGCAGCTCTTCTGTTGTGGTATGAAAGCAAATATAGACTGTGGGTGCGGTTGTGTTCCAATAAAACTTTAACTTTTTAACTTGCCTTAATTTGCTTACACCTCCTCTGAGATTACAGTTTTTCTCATCTCTTAGAGTGTTTGTGGGTAGGTTGATACTTCATTTTTAATAAAGAAGACCGAATAATACAGGATTCTTAGTAAGTCCTCCATTTAACTGCTTTGTGTAGAATATTAAGTCAGCATAGTTTGTACTGTCTTTAAGTTTTCCTCCTTCTGTAGGTAAAACCAGGAATATATATCAAAATGTAATCAGGCTAATATGTTGGATGATAATAAATTCCAGCTCAAGAAATGGACTCCTCAATTCCTAAGACAAGTTAACTCAGTGATTAAAACAAAATTCTGAAGAAGCCTATGGCCACAGTGCTGGCTTTCAAAGCTATAACCTGTAACCTGTACTGAAAACCTCAGCCTCTTACGCTGAACAAAGGAAAAACTGAGAATGAAGTTATGTGAATGTAAGAAATCCCCCCCTGCTACAGAATTGAAATTATATTCATATTTATCATATTTATTTGTATGCAAAGAACCGGTAAAAGCCTACCATATATGTGCGAATCACTTTGGTTGCTGAGGGAACAAAAACATGCTGGACCTTGAGCAGTCTGGTAAAAGCTTTGACATCTCCATGTGTGTGAACAGGTTCATTGAGCTGCCATTATTAAATCATAAGGGCTGAGAGAATTCAGAGTAAGTACATTTCCTTGGAGGATATCAGTCATAGAGATGCACTAAGCCCTTGTCCAAAAGAAAACTCTTTTTTTCTGTCCTGCTTAACTGGGCCAGCCTTAAAACACTATTCATAGTTCTGTAATCATCCGGTTACTTTGTTTCAAGGTGATCTTTTAGGGGATAATCTGAATTTGGGATCAGATATAGACACTCAGGGTAAGCTTTGAGGGGAAGTATCAGTAGTTATTGGAGTGAAAGAAGATTTCCTTTCCACTGATTGGAGACTGTCATGAGATTTTAAGAAGAAAGGTAATAGAACTATTAGTAATGAGAAATTAAGCATTTTTCTAGTGGTTTTCCCTAAGCTTTGTATTAATTTTTGTTCTCCTGTAAAAAGGCAAGGAATATTTTATGGGTCATTACTCAGATTCTTTATTTTAATGTTGATTTTATGACCTTAAGGGAAATTTAAATCTGTAATTTTACTTAGAAAAATGAATTTCAGAAACTATCAGTTTATGGAATTTATTTGTGTTTTTTTTTTTTAATTTATCTGAACTTTAATCAAGGAAGATTTAGAACCTGGAGTTTATTTTTAGTTCATACGTGATCATTTCTATTTTATAGCTAAGTTTCTTACCCCAGATTGTTACTTCTCCAGAGAACAGTCGTCTTTCATACCAAGGCGTTTATGAACTAGTGCTTGGATTTTGTGTTCTGGTTTTCACAATTACGAAGTTGTATGAATCTCTTCGTGGAATATGAGGGACAATGAAAGAGAATTGCTGATACTTTCATTTTATCTTCCTTCTTTTTAGGAGTTTTATCTCTAGTGGACTGTTGGGTATGAGTATGATCATTTGTTTTAATATGAATGAGTGGGTGTGGATGCAGTTAGAAAAATAGAGATAACAACTGAGTTATAAGAGTTTGTAGAAGGTGGCTTATTTAATTAGAAAAGAAGGTTACATGTTTTACTTATGGAAAAGTGAGAGCTTTTGAAATGTTCACTTCCTCCTTTCTCAGTTTTTACCCTGGCTGTGAAGCACACCAGAGTAAGACTTACTGGTTCTTTTCTTTTCTTTTTTTTAATTAAATCTTTGTCTACCACCATGATTATTTCTAGAATGATTCGTAGCTATTTAATACTCTGGTGTGCCATGGTACACTGTTAGAAAATTACTAACTCTTTCTGCCTTTTCCCTCTAGCATGTTAAAAGATGACTTAAAACTAAGCAGCAGTGAAGACAGCGATGGGGAGCAGGTGTGTCTACTGCTTTATGAATTTCCAGTTTCATACAGTATTGGTTTGCATTGTATTTTTTTTTAAGATTTTATCCATTTATTTGACAGAGAGATCACAAGTAGGCAGAGCCACAGGCAAAAGAGAGAGGGGAAAGCAGGCTCCCCGCCAAGCAGAGAGCCCGATGCTCGGCTCTATCCCAGGACCCTGAGATCATGACCTGAGCCAAAGACAGAGGCTTAACCTCCTGAGCCACCCAGGCACCCCTGCATTGTATTTTATAAATATTAGAATCCAATGATACATACATGATTCATTTATTTAAAATAAGTTCCTTACTGCTTTCTGACAATAGAATGTTGTTATGTTCTGCTCTGTCTTTAAACCTTTTTTTATTTTTAAATTGGCTTTTCCTTACTATTTAATCATGGATCAGAATATTCTCATGACACGTGAGATTGTTGGCAAGAAGAACTTTTAACAAAGCTTTTCATCTTAGCTTGGCAGTTAGTTATTCTTTAGGTAACAACAGTGTGTCCTAAGTGTTATAGGTAAACATTGAGGCTACATTAGAGCTGCTAGTGTTCTGTTAAGAATTCAGATATTGGGTGCCTGGGTGGCTCAGTGGGTTAAGCCTCTGCCTTCGATTGAGGTCATGATCTCAGAGTCCTGGGATCGAGTCCACATCGGGCTCTCTGCTCAGCAGGGAGCCTGCTTCCCTTGCTCTCTCTCTGCCTGCTTATGATCTCTGTCAAATAAATTAAAATCTTAAAAAAAATTAATAAGAATTCAAATATTTTCACATTAAGCAGATAGAGTGCTATTTATTCATTTGCATTCCCTCTCATGTTTTACTTTTAGGATTGTGATAAGACAATGCCAAGAAGTACACCAGGAAGGTATGCATCCTTTTATTTCTTGTTTTACTTGGAGGGGTGGGTATCACCTGATAGCATTATAGTAATATTATAATCGACCTTATAAAGTAAATATTATTGTAGTGGCGATTGTACAACCTTGTAAATTAACTAAAAATCATTGAATTGTACACTTAACGTGGGTGAATTCTGTGGTATATAAATTATACCTCAGTAGAAATCTTTTTAAAAGGTAAGAGCTAATGGCTGAGCAGCATATTAGTAACTTTTTAAGAAAGTATTTCATTTATAAATGACATTCTGGATTCATAGACCTGTAACAGCATAACAAACAGTAAACATTTTAAATAAAGTTGGTTGTCAGATTTGGGTGTTTTCCTGCTGTCACTGTAAAAACAAACAAACAAAAAAACTTCTGGTCATTTATGTTTTATCTCTTTTTAGTAACTCTGAACCTTCACACCATAATAGTGAAGGCGCTGATAACTCCAGGGATGATTCTAGCAGCCACAGTGGATCTGAAAGCAGCTCTGGATCTGACTCAGAGAGTGAAAGTAGCTCCAGTGACAGTGAGGCAAATGAGCCGTCCCAGAGTGCATCTCCTGAGGTGAGAGGGAGGCAGAGTGTCTTCTGTAGGCCTCCCATGGCCCCTGGTGATGGCCACTTAAGACCTATTCCAAATACAAAAGGTGAAGGGAAAGAAGGTTAAGAAATTGAACTGGGTATCTTAGAGGAAGCTTAGACACTTAGTTTCATTGTTATTTGAACAAACATTCAGTCTAGATTAGGAATTACCTGAGGTCCTATTTCGGGTCCCTAAAATACTGGATTGGTTTAGTTTGGGCTTTCTTTTTATATCTCAGCATGGTAATTCATGTTATGTAGTTATTGTGAATAAAAGGAGTCTTATATTTTATAATTTTACTATAGGTTGATAAAATAAGGTTAAAAATCTCTATCAGTACCTACATCATTTGTTTACTTTTTGGAATTAAGTATATCCTGTGGTCATTTGTAATTTTACCTTTGAAGTTAGGTTCCTAATAGGAATCTTTAATGTATGTCTGTCTGTTTGTTTATTTATTTGTTTATTTATTAAGATTTATTTATTTATTTGACAGACAGAGATCACAAGTAGGCAGAGAGGCAGGCAGAGAGTGAGGGGGGAAGCAGGCTCCCCACTGAGCAGAGAGCCCGACACGGGGCTCGATCCCAGGACCCTGAGATCATGACCCGAGCCGAAGGCACCTAGACGCCACCTGTTTGTTTATTTTTAAAGATTTTATTTATTTGTTTGGCAGAGAGAGACACAGCAAGAGAGGGAACACAAGCAGGGGGAGTGGGAGGGAGAGAAGCAGGCTTCCCACCAAGCAAGGAGCCGGATGCAGGGCCTGATCCCAGGACCCTGGGATCATGACCTGAGCCAAACGTAGATGCTTAACGACTGAGCCACCCAGGTGCCCCATCTTTAATGTTTAAGGACCCTATGTAATATCAGGCTTACCTTCTCATTCAAGTGATGAGAGCTCTGATAGTCAATATTCAGCCCTTTGCTTTAGTTCAATCAGAACTGTGAATAGCAAATACCTTTGTGGTCTTAGACGTGCTTTTTCCTCTTCCTTGAGATCGTTGAGGAGGGGAAAAGCTTCATTATTGACAAAAGCATATTTATTTCTCTGTTTTTCAGCCTGAACCACCACCAACAAACAAATGGCAACTTGATAATTGGTTGAATAAGGTGAACCCACATAAAGTGTCACCAGCTTCTTCTGTGGATAGTAACATCCCATCATCTCAAGGCTATAAAAAGGAAGGCCGAGAACAGGGCACTGGGAATAGCTACCCTGATCCGAGTGGACCTAAAGAAACGAGTTCTGCTACTCCTGGACGAGACTCCAAAACTGTACAAAAGGGATCAGAAAGTGGGCGAGGGAGGCAGAAGTCCCCTGCACAGAGTGACAGCACAACACAGAGGAGAACTGTAGGCAAAAAACAACCCAAAAAGGCTGAGAAGGCAGCTGCTGAAGAGCCCCGGGGAGGCCTGAAGATAGAAAGCGAAACCCCTGTAGACATGGCTACCAGCATGCCCTCCAGCAGACATAAAGCAGCCACCAAAGGCTCAAGGAAACCCAATATTAAAAAGGAGTCCAAATCTTCCCCTCGACCTTCTGCAGAGAAAAAGAAATACAAGTCAACGAGTAAATCTTCCCAGAAATCAAGGGAAATCATAGAAACAGATACCTCATCCTCAGATTCAGATGAAAGCGAGAGCCTTCCTCCTTCTTCACAAACTCCTAAGTACCCTGAGAGTAACAGGACTCCTGTGAAACCCTCCTCAGTGGAGGAAGAAGATAGTTTTTTTCGGCAACGAATGTTCTCTCCTATGGAAGAGAAGGAACTTCTTTCACCCCTTAGTGAGCCTGATGACAGGTATCCACTTATTGTGAAGATTGACCTGAATCTCTTGACCAGAATACCAGGAAAGCCTTATAAAGAAACAGAGCCACCCAAGGGGGAAAAGAAAAATGTGCCAGAAAAGCACACAAGAGAGGCTCAGAAACAAGCCTCAGAAAAAGTTTCCAACAAAGGCAAGAGGAAACATAAGGTTTGTAAAGAGTTTTTGTTGTTTTGTTTTTAAACATCAGAATCTGAAATGCAGTGGAAATCTCAGTAAGCCAGAAAATACCTAGTTGAGTCATAGCTAGGAAAGAAAATAGAGGTTGAGCCTGAGACCCTGGGAAGGCTCCAGACCTAACCGTCTCTTGAGAACCAGTGAGCCTCTGCCTGTCTCCTTTAGTTTCTCATCCAGTAAGAAATGAGCCAGTGCTTGTTTAGCGTATGTGCTGGCCAGGGTGGAGGTGAGAGTAAAGCAGGGATTGCAAACTGACCTTCACAACGTTCTTAACCTTTTGATTTTAAAATGTCTTTAGTTGGGATATATACTTTCCGGGTTGTGACAACCTTTAACATTACCTTCTCTTTTATGCCCAGACCAAGTCACACCTTTTAAACTGCTAATTCCAGCTTCCAGATTGATTCACCAATTTGGACACATCCTTAGGAACTTACCAGTTCTCTGTACATATCTGTGCTCCAGCTTATTTCCCTTTTCAAACACCCATGTCTACAAGTTCATGACTAAATACATTTCCTCGCACACGGCCAGCTCCTGTCCTAGATTTACCTGGGGTAATTTGGATTTAGAGGTGAAGTTTGGTATATGTTGAAGGTCAGCCTTTTTAGACCCAGGAGATGTGAAAACCCACAGATGTCTATGATTGGAAGATAAGGGACGTGTAATGAAAAGAGCTGAACAACTTTCATGTATAGACAGGGATTCTTTGGGAAAAAGAGTTTGATCTTTCAGCTCTAGTGAGAAATTTTTAGAGGAAAGTAAATTTTAATGATTTATATTGAAGAATAGTATGATTTCTCCTGATACGTATGTGTGAATATGATCATATAATACCAAAGAGGTGAACAGGTGGACAGATAGGTACCAGAATAGTTGTACCAGGTAGACTCAGAGCAAAACCCCAATCCCAGCTGACCTGAGAGTCTCACATGAGAGGAAAGAAATAATAAAACATTTTCTTAAAATGAAGTGAGCTGGAGGTCTTTCCTCTTTTTCTTAAGACCACAGTATATTGTGCAGATGATGAGGTATATTTGAACAAACTAGAATAATACCCTTTTTTCTTAGACGCTTCAAAAATTGAAGATATTAAAAAAAATTGAAGATATTTAAAAATTTGGATTTATAGAAAACTGAAGCTTACTACTTTGGGTGATATACCTAATGAGTTTCTATTATTGTAGTATAGGGAAGCTTTTTTGACTGGTAAGTTTAGGCTGCTGGCCCCTCTAGAGCTACAACCTTAGGTTGCTGGACGTTGTTGCAGGATTTAATTCATAGACTTACATGAAGTAAGAGCTTATAAACGATGGACTATGCTCTTTAGAAAACTAAGGAGCTTAATGGAATTAATTGGTCCTCTGGTGCTTGAAAAGTATTACATATTCTTTATAAGATTTTATAAATAAAGTCTTAAAAAAGATTTTATAAAATATAGAAATACAATATAGAATGCCCTTTTAATTCTTTTGTTTAAAATTCTATAGTATATAACTTAAAATGGAAAATCCCCTTCTAAAAGAATTGCTCATACTCTTTCCCTTCCCCACATCTCATTGGCATGTTTTATTCCTCCCATCCTTTTTATGTCAACACGTGTAAGTTGGATTTTGATTTTATAAAATCAGGGTCAAGTCTGGAAACTTGGTAATGATTTTTGAGATTTATGGGCTTTGGTAAAATTAAGTGTCAGGGACAGTTCTTGAAGATAAAGCAGATGGTACTGAGAGAGGAATCTCAGCCAACTGTAATGAAGGATGTAGATTCTTTTGTATCATGTTTTTATGTGTCCACTTTCAATCATTGGTGTAGAGAACAGATTCTTTTGTTATGGCAGAATGTTTTGGGTTCTTGAGGTCTGATATTTAAAGCAATAGGAAAACTTAGACTAAGTCAGGAAGGTAGCTTTGGCAGTTATACATGGTCTCACAGCTTTTGTTTCAGCAAAAATAATTTTTCACAGTCGTTAGGCTTGGCTATAATAAAAAATAATGGACAGTAACAAGTATTGGCGAAGATGTGGAGGAGTTAGAATTTTCATACAGTGCTGTGGGAATATAAAATGATAGGTAGCCGCTTTGGAACAGTTTTGGCAGTCTTTAAAAAGTTAAACACAGGGATGCCTGGGTGGCTCAGTTGGTTGAGCAGCTGCCTTTGGCTTGGGTCATGATCCCAGCGTCCTGGGATTGAGTCCCACATCGGTCTCCTTGCTCGGCTCCCCTGCTTCTCTCTCTGTCTCTGCCTGCCACTCTGTCTGCCTGTGCTCGCTTGCTCTCTCTCTGACAAATAAATAAATAAAATCTTTTAAAAAAAAAAGTTAAACACAATGTTAATTTATGACCCAGCAATTCCACTCCATTCCACTTAGGTACATACCCGAGAGAAGTGAAAATACGTCTACACAAAGACTTACACTTGTATGTTCACAGCAGTATTACTTATATTAGCCAAAAGTGGAGACAGCCCATATGGTGATTAACTGATAAATGGATAAAAAAGTGTGATACATGATAAAATGGAATATATACAGGTATAACCACAAATGAAATCCTGATACATGCTACAGCGTCAGTAAACATGAAAAATATTCTGCTAAGTGAAAGGAACCAGACACAAAAGGCCGCAAATGTGATTCCATTTATATGAACTGTCTAGAATAGGCAGTACCATAAAGACAAATATATAGGTTAGTGATTACTAGAGTCTGGGGTTGAGGGAATGGGGGGAATGCCTGCTGAAGGGCACAGGTTGTCTATTAGATGATGAGAATGTTCTAGAATTGTTTGCAGTAATGTTTGTACACCTCTGTGAATATACTAAAAGTCATTGAATTGTGAACTTTTAAAGGGTGGATTTTATGGTATAAGAATTATATCTTAATTATAATTTCACACACACACACACACACACACACACACAAATCATTAGGATGAAAAGATGTCACCTAAAAGACTGTAGGAAATGTTTCAGTGTTTGGGCTCTGTTTATCTAAAATAGACTTCTTCCCAGCCTTGAAATTGAGTTTACTGAGCCTTATTTAAATGAATTCTTTTCATTTTATATTTATCTTCTTTCTGGAACTTATCAGGGATAAATTATTTGAAGGTGACTCCTGCTGGAAACTGAAATTAGATGAATAAAAATCAAATATAATAGTTGCTTTTCTCTGTTTTTCATCTAGAATGAAGATGATACCCGAGCCAATGACAGCAAGAAACCCAAAACAGAGGACAAGAATTCGGCAGGTCACAAGCCATCCAACAACAGAGAGTACGTCCCCAAAACATGTCACGTGTGTTAATATGTGTATGTCATTTGCCGTTGGGTACTTTGTAATGTGCTCTGTATGTCATGTCCATGTAGATGTTGTACATATACCAACCAGTAGTAGAGGAGGGAGCTGTTAGCTAATTGCAATGGAAAGTTTTTAAGATTCTGTCTCTTCTTCCTTTCTTCTTTCTGTAGTGGAGTAAGGTTGAGTACAGGATAAGAATTAAAGTAAAGTTTTACCACTTTCTGGCTAGATGATAAGCTTATCTGGATCTGTCAAGAGACCAGTTTCTAACTCAGGAGCTTCGTATCTTCATCATTCATCTTCTCATTTATGTAACCAGTATTTATTGAATACTTGTATGGCAGGCCAACATTAAGGTACTGAGTATACATACAGCCAGGAGGTGGAAAACAGGTAAGATGCCTGTCCTCATGAAATGTACACTCTTACTTTGTTTTGTAGAAATCATATGTCCTAATACTTAAATAGGGAGAAATAAATTTGTCTTGAAAGCAGGCAGAGAGAAAAAAATCCATCACCCCCATATGATGGTGTTAGAGAAATGAAGGCTTTTGTTTGATTTGGCAGGTCATCTAAACAAAGTTCTGCAAAAGAAAAGGATTTGTTGCCCTCTCCCACGGGGCCTATTCCCTCAAAAGATCCAAAAACAGAGCATGGCTCTCGGAAGAGGACTATTAGTCAGTCATCTTCTTTAAAGTCAAGTAATAATAGCAACAAGGAGAATAGTGTCAGCAGCAAAAACAGTTCCTCCACATCAAAGCAGAAGAAGACTGAAGGGAAGACTTCCAGTAGCTCTAAGGAGGTCAAGGTAAGGCATTGGGAGTGTGAGCCTTTTGAAAAGTAATCTCATTGCCTTAGGAATTCTCTGAGGTGGCATTGTGCTTTGATGATCTTGTAAATCTCTCATTAAATTTATAGGCCTGTGGGGCGCCTGGGTGGCTCACTGGGTTAAATCCTCTGCCTTCGGCTCAGGTCATGATCCCAGAGTCCTGGGATCGAGCCCCTCATCGGGCTCTCTGCTCCGCAGGGAGCCTGCTTCCTCCCCTCTCTCTCTCTGCCTGCCTCTCTGCCTACTTGTGACCTCTCTCTCTCTGTCAAATAAATAAAATCTTTAAAAAAAAAAAAATTTATAGGCCTGTGCATTTTTACTGTCAAAATGTCATAATCTTGATAACTAACGTATGCAGTTGACCTGAGACTGTGAAAGCAGTACTTCACCTGGCCACGTGCATATTAAGGCAGAAACCCATAATTGGAAAAGTTGATTTTGGAAGAAAGTAGTCGATTATGATCTAATTATAAAGTGCTCCACTTCTTATGGTTGAGTTGTCTGTGATTTGAAGTTGGCTTTGGATTTTTTAGAATTAGATTTTATAAGCAAGTGTATTACATAAAGTGATAAAGCAGCCAATCTGGCTTTGATTCATGGAGAGAAAATTCTTCAGCTGAGCTAGTACTGGAACTATTCCTGGAGCATGATCTTAATATAGGGGACTGTTCTTCATGTTTTATGGGGGGAGAAGTAGATCATAGACGTTCTTTCAAGGCTGTACTTTATTAGACTTTCACCCTCACTTTATCTACCAGTTTATTTACATTATTTTCTAAACTGATCAGGAGCAAACTCTGACAAAATTAAGAAAACACCTAGATTTTTAAGGATATAATTTACTGGGTTGTTATTTGTGACTTGAGTAAGCAAAGGTTTAAGAGTTGAAAAAATTCACCATTAAAGATAGTTACTCATGCTTATTAAATGTGGCAGTTTAATGAAGTCTTTAAAATTGAGGTGATTTTAACTGTGAACAATGGCTCAAATTGAGATATACAGATGGCTTTTTCTCCACATGGACACGCTTACGTAGTAGTTTAGAGGGTTAGTCCTAGTGTCCTTAAGGAACCTGAGTGTCCTCTTGGCCTCCTTCACCGTCCCAGTTCTGTCTACCTGCTAACTGGCTCTTTCTCCATTTTCCGTATTTCACCTATGGGATTTGAGGCCTGAATGCTTATTTCTTAAAATTTCATACCATTCTCTCTCTGTCTTTTTTAAAGATTGATTTATTTGTGGGCATCTGGGTGACTCAAATGGTTAAGCACCTGCCTTCAGCTCAGGTCATGATCCCAGGGTTCTGGGATTAAGCCCCTTATCAGGCTCCCTGCTCAGCGGGGGGCCTGCTTCTCCCTCTGCCTCTCCTCTGCCTGCCAGTCCCCAGACTTGCATGCTCTCTCTATCAAATAAATAAAATCTTTTAAAAAATATATTTATTTGAGACAGAGGGAGTGTGTGCCCGAGTTGGGCCAGGGGAGAATTTCAGGCAAACTCCCTGTTGAGCACAGAGCCCAATGTGGGGCTGAATCCCACAACCCCAGGATCATGACCTGAGCTAAAATCAAGAGTCAGAGGCCTAACTGAGCCACCCAGGTGTAACCCCCTTCTCTCTTTAAATACATTCTTTAAGTGAGCTCACCTGTTCGTTTGGTTTTTTGCTCTCATAGGTAAAACTGTCTCCTCTTTATTGGTTTGTCAGGTCCTTGAAAGCAGGGATTTGTATCTTGTTTTGTGTTTTCTCCATTGCTGCTTAGCTTGCTGGGTAACCAGGAAATATTTGTTGGATCAAATGTAGTTATTTGGTACTCTGTTATTGAGAGAATATAAAATATAAGCTCTGACCATTTGATTTCAAGATCTTAGGGCTTTTAACAATTACTAAAATCATTAATGTTAGTCTTGGCAATTTCCAGTTTAGGCAATTATAAATGGGTTTATTAAAGAGAATCTGTAATTTAGTTGGAAGATATGCTTTTTCTTATTTTAGCTAAAGGAAAATTACATATAATGGAAAACCAAAATTACATATAATTTTTATTTTGTTTTTTTCCTGCATATTTGCTCATATTATCAGATATCTGAAATATGGTTCCATAAAGTTGTTTGTTACAGTCTCTTACTATGCTTTTGGTATCTCTAATATCTCCACTTAGGTTCCCCTTTTGTTCTTAATATTAGTTCTCTGTGCCATTTCCCTTTTTTCCTTGATCAGTCTCATCAGAGGCTTATTAGTTTTACTTGTCTTTTCAGAAAATAGCCTCTGATTTACATGTTGATTCTTTGAAGTTTATTTTTGTTTTCTATTTCATTAACTTACAATCTTTATGATTTCCTTTCTTTTTTTTTTTTAGGATTTTATTTTTATTTGACAGAGATCACAAGTAGGCAGAGAGGCAGGCGGTGGGGAGGGGGGGGTGGGGGTGGGGGGCAGGCTCCTTGTTGAGCAGAGAGCCCGATGTGGGGCTCCATCCCAGGACCCTGGGATCATGACCTGAGCCAAAGGCAGAGGCTTTAACCCACTGAGCCACACAGGCGCCCCTATGATTTCCTTTCTTATTCTTTCTTTTTGCTTTGCTGTTCTGTTTACTGACTTTTAAAAATGGATACTTGGCTCATTAATCTCTAAATTAGTTTTAAGCCTTTTTTTCTTTCTCTAATATAAGCAGTTAGGCTAAATTATTTCCTCTAAATACTACTGACATGCATCCTAGAAGATTTGGTGTGTTTTTATAACTCTGTTTAAAATCTTTTCTAATTTCCAGGGTGATTTTATCTTTGACCCATGGGTTATTAAAAGCATGTTAGTTAAAAAAAAAAAAAAAAAAATTAGTCAATTTCCAAAAATACTGAGATTTGCTAGTAGTCTTCTGATTCATGTTGCTACCTTAATTGCATTGGGTCTTGAAAGTAATCTTCACAGTAACAGTCTTTTGAAATTTGTTAATAAGATTTGCTTTATGAGAGTGTGGTATATGGTATATGGTAGATTTTTGTAATGTTTTGTTAGCAAAGAATGTGTATTTTGCATATATTGCAGACACAGAATCTATGTAATTCAGTTAGATTAATCATCTTTTCAAACCTTCTTTATGCTGCTGTTTTTGATGACTTTGCCCTTTTGTTCATTTTTCCACAAACATACAAGATTTGTCTTTTTTTCCCTTCTTTCTTCTGCCAGTTCTTTTTAACTGAGATACATTTGATACATAACACATTAGTTTCAGGTGCACACTATGATCCAATATATGATATATTGTGAAATGCCCACTAATTTTAGTTAACCTCCTTAAACACACAGTGATTTTACAAATCCCATGCATATAATTTTTATATGAGAAAAGTGTGTTAAAATACGTAGACAATTTCTGAACGTAATTTTAGTAATTTCAGTTTTCCTTCAGCATAATTAGGCAATTGTGGAAGTACTTAGAAAACATAGAGGGAAAACTGGCCTAGTAATGTTACATTCCATCATAATATGCTGGAAGCCATTTCAGAAACATGGGAACTTGACTGTAGAGAGCATAGTATTTTCTCAAATCCCAAGGCTTTTATTTTCATTCCTTGAGGTAAGCTGTATTGGGTAGAACTGAAAAGCTGTTATCATTTAAGAAAAGAAATGGTTTAGGGGCGCCTGGGTGGCTCAGTGGGTTAAGCCGCTGCCTTCGGCTCGGGTCATGATCTCAGGGTCCTGGGATCGCATCGGGCTCTCTGCTCAGCAGGGAGCCTGCTTCCTCCTCTCTCTCTGCCTGCCTCTCTGCCTGCTTTGTGATCTCTCTCTGTCAAATAAATAAATAAATAATCTTTAAAAAAAAAAAAAGAAAAGAAATGGTTTATGGTTCCTTTTCAGTAGATTTTTGAGCACAAGCAGTAAAATTATATATTAATTGGGTTTTTTAATGTTGAAACATGAATTCATAGGATACATTCTGCTTACTTGTGTTTTGTTGTGGAAAATGTATGTAGGGAAACAGTTGAAAAGACAGGCTCTCAGTCCCCACATAAAGGGCTATGTTGATAGGAGGTGTAATAAAGTTTAAGAAAGTGTCTAACCTTTTAAAATGTGACAGATCTGGATTTAAAGTCCAAATTCCAGGAATGCCACTTAAAAGCTGTTCAAATTTGAGTGAGTTACCCTCCTTGACATTGCTTTTTTTTTTTTGTCCGCAAAGCAGTATACCTTCCAATAAGGTTGTGGAAGGATTAATGACTGTGCTAAGTACCTAGTTAACTTAGTGCCTGGTAAGTAGTAAGCACATAGTAAGTGTTAGATCTTATTATTGCTGTTTTCATTGACCACTAATTATTGGTAAATTTTGTCTTAAGCAGTACTCCTGTTCTCAGAGTAGGTTGTATCTTCCTTAGGTTTTACCTAGTGTCTAGTTCATTGCCTGGTACATAGTAGACCTCTGCTATTAGAATGAATATTTTTGGTTATATAAAATGGACCTGTTCAGTAAAAAGGGTTTTTATATTCTGAAATATAAAAATTTTGTAACAAGGAAATTAATTACTAAAGGCAGTGGAATTTTGTTCCCTTTCTACTAGTGGCTCAAAAAATATTTTCAGTTTAATTTTAATCACCTCAGAATTTTCAACATGCATACTTTTCCAACATTATGTACTTTCAACATTATATATTTTTTTGGTCAGGAAAAGGCTCCAAATAGCTCCTCTAACTGTCCTTCATCTACACCAACTCCTGATGCTTCTAAGCCTCGGAGAACAAAGCTTGCCTTTGATGACAGGTGAGAGAAATGTTTTTTTTTATGCATTGGATAAATCATTCAAGTCAGCATATAAGAAACTGGTATAAGTTCCTGTCAGTGACCAGAAGAATGCATACTTGTGGTGTGCTCCATAGAACATTCAGGTTTTAATTTGAAAGGCACTCTACTAGTCCAGGTACAGTTCCTTTTAACTGAGCTCTGTGAGTCCTAGGGGATGCGAGTAAGGTGCCTTCAAGTAGAACCTGACTGCTGCTGGTACCCTGTTTAACATGGGGGCTTTCTTAAATAAGTAGAGGAGTATTGGGGGTTTTCGTCCATTTTGTTAAAAGGTTATTTCTCTTACCTACACATTGCTTCTATTCCAGATCTTTCAAACAACTTGGGAAAATTAGCATTTAATACTAAGGAGCTTGATCTCTATTTTCCTAAGTAGAAAATTTGTCATGAGTTGGCCAACACAAATTATGCTCTTAACCCAATTAAAACATTTGTCAGAAAACCTGGAACTGAATGTTTAGTAATGGGTCATTTTCTTTACTTGAAAACACGAAAACTGAGGGATGCTAGAGAGGAAAATGGACAAGTAATATCTTATGAAAACATTTACTATTTTATTTACTATAAAAATTTACATTGCAGAAATTATTCAGCAGACCATTATTTACAAGAAGCAAAAAAGCTAAAGCACAATGCCGATGCATTGGTATGTAAACATTCTGACATTTATTTATTTAATCAAATTAACTTAAATTTTCATTTATTGTTTGTTCTCATAGTACCTCAGTGTATCTCTCATTACCCTTATTCTCCTTTCTTCAGTCTGATAGGTTTGAGAAAGCTGTATACTATCTTGATGCTGTGGTATCTTTCATTGAATGTGGGAATGCATTAGAGAAAAATGCTCAGGAATCCAAATCCCCATTCCCTATGTATTCAGAGACAGTGGAGCTCATCAAGTAAGTGGGAAAACTTGGCTGCTATATCATTGGCACTATTACTTCTTTGGCTCATCTAAGAAGGGGCTGATACAGCTGTATACAGTAAAGCTGTGAAGGATCTTAATCCTTTATTGTCCTGGGATAAGGAGAATTAGATATTTCAATGGGTATTTATGCCTTTGTTTAGGTGGGGTTCTAATGTTCTGAGGACTAAGGAAGTCCTAAGATCAAGGTGAAGTACTATGTTTTGTGTAATTTGTTTGTTGCTTTAACTCACAGATACACTATGAAGCTAAAGAATTACTTAGCCCCTGATGCTACAGCTGCAGATAAAAGGCTCACGGTACTTTGGTAAGTGTTATGTCCCAGCCTCTGCTAGATAACAGGCTGTTCCCTAAGAAATTATGCTGTTTATGCCATTCTGAATGTTATCCTTGATTCGGCCTTTCTTAACCCAGACATAAATCTATTCTTGATGGGGAAAGTAGAAAATAAGTCAAAATTCCTACTGAAAGACTTTTAGTTGTTGTCAGTCTCTGATCCATTGTACTCATGGCAAAAGCCTTGGTAGGGTAGGACTGACGGTAGAACTCCCCATGTCTCACATGGTCCCTTTTTCAGGCTCTTCTTTCAGTATCCTCTCTCCTTATTCACATATCCTATACCTTCCCTTAGGGAGCAAATATTTAGCTTATTAAGAATAACAAATGTGGCTTGTTGGCTTAGTCCTAGGGCGATATTATCAGATCGTTTTTTGAAAGTATTTACTTTACCTGGCACTGGCTTTAACAGCTAGGAATGTAGCTGTGAATAAACTGACAGGGTCTTTTTTGTCGTAGAGTCTAGTATCTAGTGTGAGGAGACACAAATTAATCAAATCGTCACACAAGTATATGCATTCAGCACTTTGAAAGAAAAGTATAATAACTATAAAAGAGTAGAGTATAGAGACACCTGGTCTTCAAATAGAGGGGATATGTGCAAGGGCTGGATGGTGGAAAGAAACTGGCAACTATCAAGGAACTAAAGGAACTACACATAAAGACCAAGGAGAAGTGAAAGTGACTGGAGAGGTAGGCAGTGGTGAGCGTGCAAAGCGTTTGCAAGCCATTGTAAGGTTCCCATATGTTGCCTCAGATGCATAGTTGAGTTCCCTAGTTTTTGTCGTTGAATTTCAGTTATTTATAATTTGATCTAGAGATTCCGCTCCTCAGTGATTTCTTTGAACGCATGTGTTATAATGACATGTTGGTGTCTTGTGGGTGAGGTTTTGATTTTTGATGGTCAACAAATAGGAGACTAGTCCTAAGGCTCTTCCCCTCCTTTTGGTATGTACCATAATCAGAACACAGCCTCCAATTTTGCCTGAGAATTAGTGTCATTGACCTTACGCCGTGGTCTGTTCACATGAGCCAGTCCTGTGCTCTTGGACAATACAGAAGTTGTCTATGCATATGTGGTCAGAGTCCACTGTGCTGGTAAATAAGCTACCCTTTTCCATTTGCTAGCCTGCGATGCCAGTCTTTGCTGTACCTGAGGCTGTTCAAACTGAAGAAGGAAAATGCTCTGAAGTACTCAAAGACACTGACGGAGCATCTGAAGGTAAGTGTAGAAACAAGGAAGGTCCCTGTCCTAGGGGACAAGATTTGTTGGTGAACTTGCAAATAGGTTTGAAACTTCTTGGAAAGTTTTTAAATGTACATATATCTGATTGTAGAATCTTTGTAGCCATACGTAGTAGCTCTTCCTGGCATTTCTTTTCTTTTTTTTTTTTTTTTAAGATTTTATTTATTTATTTGTCAGAGAGCGCGCGAGCACAGGCAGACAGAGTGGCAGGCAGAGACAGAGAGAGAAGCAGGCTCCCTGCTGAGCAAGGAGCCTGATGTGGGACTCGATCCCAGGACACTGGAATCATGACCTGAGCCGAAGGCAGCCGCTTAACCAACTGAGCTCCCAGGCATCCCTCTTCCTAGTATTTCAATGGATGGAGCCTCTTTCTGTCATGAGACCTAGTTTCTAATTCGCAGATGGCCTTCTGTTTTCACTACCACGCTTCCTTAGACTGTTCAGTTAGTTCCCTAAAATGTCTATGTGTTTTCCTCACACCCCCACATCAGTCTTCTTAAAATCCTGCCCTGGTTCTGAGTTCAGACTCTTCAATAGCTTACTTTTGCTTGCCAGGTCAGGTCTGAGCTTCTTACCCGGACCTCAAGTCGTTGAGGTCTCTTTCTCCTCTTCCTTCCCTAAACCTCTGCTCCGGGGAAACTATGGGTCACATCCATCCACAGCCTTTGCACAAAGTATGACTCATCTCTTGTCTGTCTGTTAACTCATTCTCTGTCTTCCAGAACCCCCGGCTCTCACCTAAATAAGGTCTTCTGTTGCACATTTACACACACACACATTTTCTTGCTCTCATGCTTATATTTTGGGTTCTTAAATTTGTAAAGCATCTTAAGGAGCAATTCTGGCCCAGTGTGCTCTTGAATATATTTAATACTTCAGAAGTAGTATTTTTTTAATTACGTACATCTAATTTTTTCCACAGAATTCTTATAATAATTCTCAAGCACCATCACCTGGCTTGGGAAGGTAGGTAAATTTTAGTCTATAAAATATTTTTTGTGACAAAATGATTTATTTTTGTGTAAAAGCAGGATGGGTGGGGTCCAGTTTCTAGAAATGAAGAGCTGACAATTTAAAAAAATTAAAACCATCTCTAATAAAGTATTTTTTAAAGTCTTCATTTTTCCTCTTTATTTTTTACTAAGTTGAAAATACAATGAACACAGGAGTAGGCAGGGGACATTTCACCTGTAGAAAACTGAGTTTTTTGACAGCACCTCAGTCCTTCTCAGAGTTTAATTTATACAACTAGTTGGGTTTTCATCATTGAGCTTATCTTTATTTTACTTAGGTCTCGATACTGACAGAAATTAGTAACAGTGGCATGATTGTGGTTTCTCCTCCATCCCCAATCATCCCCCAAAATGAGGACAATTACCACGACAGCTTTTGTTTTGTAATTTTTTTCTGTTCAGTTATTATTTTTATGTTAAATGACTTTCTGTCTTTGCTCTTGTGTATTTTCTGAACCAAATTTATAGTGCTGAAAGAGAAGATAAAAAAAATATTCACAATAAATCGCTTTTGTTCCCCCAACTTTTGTTTCATTTTCTTTTTTTTTATGGTCTTGGGCACTTCCACAAATTTTAGTACTGCTGAAATGAACTTCCCTGTTTCTTAGGTGTGTCCTAAGAAATATTTAATGGACAGAAAGACTGAGATAATTGCAGTTGAATGAAAAAGCTGAGCCTCTTTGTCAGCTTTGAATAACTTGGTTAAACTAGGAAATTACCAGAAATAATGGAGTTTATTATCTACTACCTATCTACTACCTATCTACTACCACAATTTTCTTGTGTTAAAATGCAAATTCCTCCCAACTTTCTACAAAACAACTTGAAAAGTACCTAATTACCTGCCAGAATAGATGGAAAGTGTGTCCAGCTGGGAGTGAGGTGAACTGCTACTCTCAAGGTGTGTGACTTCCTCAGTTCTTTGCTGTCTTTTGTTCTGTTGCCATTTATTAAAACAAAGAGTCCAGATACAGTGATTCACCATGGGCTTTAGTGAGCTAAATACTTAGAAGAGATTGTACTTCTGTGCAGGCTCTTCTAGTTTAAAAAAGTCTTTAAATTTTAAAAGCCTTCATGGATGAAGAGCCAGTAGAACATGGGTTTCATCATGTTCACCACATTCACATGAGTAAGTTTCCTGTTTCTCTCTGTGTAGCAAAGCTGTTGGGATGCCTTCCCCTGTTTCTCCAAAGCTGTCGCCCGGCAATTCCGGAAATTACTCTTCTGGGGCCAGTAGTGCTACAGCAAGTGGTTCTTCAGTGACCATTCCACAGAGGATCCACCAGATGGCAGCCAGCTATGTTCAAGTTACGTCCAACTTCCTCTATGCCACTGAAATTTGGGACCAAGCTGAGCAGCTTTCCAAAGAGCAAAAAGGTAGGAAGTTCTCTAGAGAAACTTTGAAGGATGTAATTGTTGGAAGAGCTTTTATGATCTAATTAAGTGTCTGATCTGCATGTAGTTTATTAGGTAGTCTAGAGTTGACAGTAAAGCATTTCCTGATCACCATTGCTTACCAGTCATACCGAATGTATGGAGTTTGGTCAGAAATGCCTCGCACTGTACCAGTGATGCACACAAAACTAAAAACAGCTTTTGCTCTAGGACATATGTGCCTTTGTTCTCGGCACATTAAGTGCAGCTTCAATTATAAAAATAATAAAATACCCGTTCTATTTTAGGGTGGTTAATAGCCCTTGGCTTAGGTATACAATTACATGCAGACATCTTGTACATATGAGATGTCTAATATATAAGAAATCACATTCAGGGGCACCTGGCTGGCTCAGTTGCAGGAGCATGTGACTCTTGGTCTTGGGGTCATGAGTTTGAGTCCCATGCTAGGTGTAGAGATTACTTAAAAAAAAAAAAATTCATGCTGGAAAATTGGAAAACTTGTGTGATAAAGGAGACAACAAAATAAATCAGTTTCTAGCATTCTTCAATATTAGGTTATGTGACGCTTTTGTACCTTAAGTTTGTTATCTCCCAAACTAAGAACACTGATAATTATAAAGTATTTAAAGGTCCCAGAGAAGAATCACTATATTGTACACTGAAATAAATGGTAACACCATGTTACCTATACTGGATTTTATTTTATTTTATTTATTTTTTTAAAGAGCGTGCACACATGTGAAGCGTCTCGGGGAGGGGGAGAGAGGCAGAGGGAGAAGGAGAAAGAAAATTCCAAGCGGGCTCCATACCCAGTGTGGAGCCCCAAGTGGGGCTTAAACTCATGACCCTGAGATCATGACCTGAGCCAAAAATCAAGAGTCAGACACTTGACCGACTGAGTCACTAGGGCACCCCAACTATAGTAGATTTTATTTATCTGTTAGAGAGAGAGAGGCAGTGAGAAAGGGAATATAGGCACAGAGAGTTGGGGGGTGGGGAGAAGCAGGCTTCCCTCTGAGCAGGAAGCCCGATGTGGGGCTCCATCCCAGGACCCTGGGATCATGACATGAGCCAAAGGCAGATGCTTAACTGACTGAGCCACCCAGGCACCCCTATATTGGATTTTAAATTTAAAAATAAGTAAATAAAGGATCCTAGGGTAAAGTACTATATAAACACCATCTTATTTTCATAGTTGTTATTAGCGAATGTGTGTGTGTGGCAGCTGTTCAGATAGACCCTTTGTAGAGAAACACTACGCTGGTCAATCAAGTGTCCTTTTTTCACAGAGTGTATTTAAATATGTGTAATATAAACAGGTAATGAGATGAAGATGAAGATTCTTATCCCTAAGGAATGATAATGGTGGGAGAAAGGTAGAAGAGGAACCTCAGCATCTAACATAAAATTGTCCTGGAAACCTAATTCTTTCCTAAAATTTTAAATATTGTCACTATTGCTCTGGAAAGGTTACAAAAGCAGGAATTCTTACTAAATCACTCCTGGTTTACTTTCCATTTTTCTTCCTGATGCCAGTTTTCTAGCATTGTTTTTCTTTGTCCTTTCATTCTCTTTGTCCTTTCACTTTTACTTTTTGTGTGGTACTTTATAATGTTAACTAAAGGAAAGATAATGGCATAATGATCCCTGAGCATCTTTCATTCAGCACATTTTCCTAATCTTGTTTCACCTCACCCTCTCTCTGAATCATACTTTTCTTGCCCCGCCGGAGTATTTAAAGCATTTCCCCTGAACATACTTAGGTGTATGCATCGTTGGGTGATACGGATTTTTCAAGGACATGATCGTCATGCCTTTTTTTTTTTTTTTTAAAGATTTTATTTATTTATTTGACAGACAAAGATCACAAGTAGGCAGAGAGGCAGGCAGAGAGGAGGTGGGGAAGCAGACTCCCTGCTGAGCAGAGAGCCTGATGCGGGGCTCTATCCCAGGACCCTGGGATTGACCTGAGCCAAAGGCAGAGGCTTTAACCCACTGAGCCACCCAAGCTCACCATCGTCATGCCTTTAACACAGCCACCAAAATTAACAGAAATTCCTTTCTATCACCTAATACCTAGTCTATCATCCAATTTTCCTGTTATTGCAAATATGTCTTTTTTTTTTTTTTTTTTCTTTACTGTTTGTTTTTAACAGGATCCAAACATTCCTTCATCAGTGCCTGAAGTCTGTCTCCTTCCAGGTTTTGGTGTTTAGGGGAATGGGGCACTGTGCCATTTATGTTGAGGAGGAAATGAGTCCTATTATGGACTTGACTGATTGCTTCCTCTTGGTATCGTTTAGCTTGCTCCTCTGTCCCCCTTATTTCCTTCATACTGATAGTTACATTTTGAGACTTAATTAAATTCAGGTTTTTAACATTTCATAGGTGCTGCTCTAGATCTCCTATTATTGATATTATTGAGGCATTTAATTAATGGTTGTCTCTTATTTAGTGATACTTGGATTTGGCCATTGACACAATCCAGGTGGTTTAGCCTGACCCAGTTTGATATAAGATTCCCTATTAAACTTTAACTTAGGTTATTACTCACATCCATTACTTACATCCATTATTGCACTAGGAAATAGGAATTTTCAGGGCACCTGGGTGGCTCAGTTGATTAAGTGTCTGGCTCTCAATCTCAGCTCAGGTCATGATCTCAGGGTCATGAGTCCAGGTCCCACATTGGATCCTACTTTAAAAACAAAAAAAAAGGAAACAGGAATTTTTTATTCTGCTATTGCACCTGCATTTATTATCTGGAATTCTATAAAAAAGACCCTTTTCGGGGCGCCTGGGTGGCTCAGTGGGTTAAAGCCTCTCCCTTCGGCTCAGGTCATGATCCCAGGGTCCTGGGATCGAGCCCCGCATCGGGCTCTCTGCTGAGTGGGGAGCCTGCTTCCCTTCCTTTCTCTCTGCTTGCCTCTCTGCCTACTTGTGATCTCTGTCAAATAAATAAAATCTTAAAAAAAAAAAAAAAAAGACCCTTTTCTCCTCCTCTTTGATTGCTTCTATTTGAGTAGGCCCAGGTGTTTATCATGAGAATGATCCCTTTTTCTCTGCATGTATAAAAACTCTCCTTTCTGAGTCCTACATCCCTCTCTTTTCTCCCAAAATTGCATCGGGATCAAATGTTAGGACACTGTCCTTCCTTCCTCTTCTCTGCACCCATGTCACATGCAGATCAGCCTTTATTTGGTCACACAGGAAGAATCCTTTCATGTCCATCCTTTGCATTTTTTAACTATACTATCTAAAACATGGGATAATTTATCAGTGTTGCATGGCATATGATTACAGCAAAAAGTTTGTCATAAATGTCTAATCTCACAGGAGCTCTTACAGGGAACAGTTCAAAGAACTTTTTGTATCATTTGCTTCTTACACAAAAACAGGACATACTGACTGTTTCCAGTAATAGTACAATGTAGTACATTGTCTCCATTTTAGTAATGTGTACTCCATATTAGCAGTCGATAATTTCCATCAGTGGAATTCTGCTTTTATGTATAACACTTAATTCCTAACCATACAGTCTGTTGGAAAAGTTTCAAGACTTAGGCAAAATACTAGAACTTGAAAGACAGACTATGGGTTGGTTTGTTCTAAAACAGGGGCGGTCATCATTGTAGTGCAGGAGGGAGTGTTTTTTTTACTTCATTTGACTACTGTTTTAGAATCTAGCCTAAACTTTTAAAGCAGCATTTCAGGAGACTGTGTACATCATTTAATGACTGTTTTTGGTTTTCTAGAATTCTTTGCTGAACTGGATAAAGCGATGGGCCCTCTCATCTTTAATGCGAGCATCATGACAGACCTCGTTCGATACACCCGCCAGGGACTGCACTGGCTTCGCCAGGATGCTAAGCTGATATCTTGAACTGAACACATTCTTGTTGCCTCTGATTTTCTCCACAACACTGTGTCACATCACAAAGGAAAACTGCCATAACATGCCACCTAGTCGACACTAAGAATGAGGAATGGTTTTCTCCTCCCTGGTTCATGTGTTGTTCTTATTTATAACCCAAAGCCACGATGTCAGTTGACCCCTTTAATATTCCCAATATGAAAAGTTACTTAAATGTTTTTAAATCTGCAGCACATTGATAAGATGGTGTCAGTGATCTATAATAAGATTGAAATTCCAATTGCAATTCATAACTAATCAATTGAAATTCTATTTATTTTTTTAAGTTCCCAGATTGGGGTTAGTATAAAACTTAGTTATTTCTGCCTATAAATATACTTTGTTGAACATTAAGTGTAAATTTAAGGTAGGCATTTTTTATTTATATACTTGGGGAGTTTTGTTACCTAATGTCTCTTTGTGGTAGCTCTTCTAAAAGTAAGAGTTGGTTCATCTAAAATATGGACATGTTCTTTCTGTACCTACTACCTGATATTATTTTAAATCTTAACTACAGTTTTATTGCAGAATTTATGCTTAGTATTAAGGATATTCTACACATGAAAAATCATTTAAATATGAGAAGATGGCATTCTACAGATAGAAGATGAAATGCGTCTGAGTTGGTATGCATTATGTCAAGAACTGTGAATGTGTTAATAACACTATAGCAATCACAAGGTGACTATAGGTTGCATTTAATGCATTACAAAAGAGGGCAGGCAAACTTTCTAGGAGAAGGATATCATGTGAAGGGTTTCATAAAAGGACAATCTTGAACTTCATGGATTGTATTAAAACCGTGTGTTCTTTTTTTATTGCTAATAATTTGACAGTTAATTGAAAAAGAGTAAGTTACTATGGAACAAAGGATGATTCCCCCTCCTGAGGGTTGCTGCTTACGTCTCTTTCAGTGATGATGTTTGAAGGGTTGACTCTCTCTTCAGAATTCTTATTTGTAAACTGTTTTTGCCACACTAGATCATGATGCTCTTAAAGGAGCATGCAGCGACTGATGCAGGAGTGGGCTGGAGCTTTGCTGCGTGTGTTTTTGCTATACAATTTAAGGTATAATGCCTGAGCTAGAGATGAAGTTCTCCTTTTAAACTTGTCTTGTACTGACTCCCTTTGTATTATGAAGACCCTCACCTATGATTTATATTTCTGATGGGATGAGAAAATTCACACTAGAAAAGTTCCTAATTTGGTTCAGTGTTAGCTCTCTTGGGAAGGGAAGGGGAGGGGAGCAAGGGTAGCGCTTAAGCCAGCTCTGTAAGAGTTGTATATCAAAGTACCTTTCCCTGTAAGGTGCATATCGGAGTCAAAGGTGAGAAATGAACCCTCTGTCATGCCCCTGTCATGTGCCCCTATCATGTCTGGTGTGCCTTAAATCTTACCTTTGAATGAAAACTCTATGGATTGTTTACAGATATTTTACACTAGGACCAGATCACCCAGTATGGTTGGTCTTTGGCAGTAGTAATGTTCAGTTCTCTTTCTTTATTAATCTTCCTTTAGGGTCACATAAAGATGAATTAGTTTAGAAAAGCTAATGCTTTGGTACATGACTTAGTCTAATTGGGTAATGGCTGCTCCAAAAAAATTGTCTTTCTCCCCATTCCAAAAATGAATTCATCCAATCAGAAAAGAAGATTGCCCTGCTGTTTATAGATGATTGCTAAGGTTTGAAGTGGGAAAGAAAGGATAGAACATCTCCCAAGCAAGTGTGCAGTGAATCCTCTGTATATGAGTCTTTTTTACATTTATTTCTGAAGCTAATGAACCTTCGTTGTCCTGTGGCTTCATATTTACAGAACTTTTTAACTGCCCTGTACCTCAGGTGATTTTTGCATGTCGCTGGGGATTAGAATCCAAAAATTATGCCGAAATTAATCTTTTTCTCTTGGAGACATTGCCTCTGAAATCTTGCTCTAACTTATTAGTATGTTTTAGGAACAGTTTTCCTTAAGAGGACAACTTCTCAGTGATTAGGGTAGTTATTCAATGAGAGACTTGACCCTGTTGATCAAGTAGCTGTATGTCCTGTCCTCTGATTGCTCTTACTCTGATTCCTTACTTTGCAGTGATGTCTTAGAAGTGGATAAAGCTTTCAGCCACAGCAGCCAGCAGGGCACCTCTGAGTTCCAGTGTATTCTAATCTCTTGTGTGTCCTGAAAGGCAAGCAGGAGTGTTTCTGGGGTCACACTGATATTTTGTTAAAACATAGTTTCCTGCATGTTTTATGGTGCTGTTCTAAGTTAATTTTCTCTCTGGAACTGTGTTAATTCTTTGGGAATAAATTTTTCAAGCTTTTCATTGTGGAGGGATTTTCCCACCAGGTGGTAACGGGCAGTGAATCAAAATCCTGTCCTAAATAATTAAATTTTCAATGTCATAGTCTATGGAAACACCACTCCCTTTCCTCTGTGTCCATCTCCTCAAAAGTTTTCTGTGTCTTCATCTGCTCCAGTGCATACTTTGGACTCCCTTTGTAGGCCACCATTCCTCCTTCCTCAATAGGTGTCTTCACTGTTCTCTGACCATTTAAAACTGAATTTGACAAGTGGCTAAAAACTTACTTCGTCTGAGACTTGTACTTAATATATAGTTAATTATAGAAATAGCAGCTATTTGAAAAATCACTCTGTTGACTGCTTTTTAAGACCACACTTGTATGCCAGGAGGCAGCAGCCTACACCCCCGGACTCTTCACAGGCAGCCAGTGAACAGTGGATGAAGTCACGTGGTAATATTGCTCAGCCTGGGCTGGGCTGTGGGGAGCACTCCCCTCCAGGCGATCCACCCGCCACAGTCCAGCCTGGGTCCAGTCTTGCTGGGAGCGTTCAGCCTGCTTCTTGCCTCAGTGCCACCTTTTCCTGGGCAAGTAGCCAAGAACTAACTTTAAAAGCGATGAGTACTCCAGATAAATCTTCAGCTGTAGTTGCTGAAGAGTAGAGAAGGTTGACCATCTCCTGATTTAATTCTGCAGTGAAAAGGTGGTGTCGAGTAATGTGTGCATGTGCCCAACATGCCTGTGCTCTGGCTAGCTCTCCCACTGGCGGGTCCATAGGCATCTGGGCCTCACTTTGCATTCACTTGTGGCTTTATTAGATTCATTGTTGTTGTTGTTTTTTTAATTGTTGTTCGTTTCTTTTTATTAAAGAAAGGTTAATCAGCTAAATCAGACAAGCATCATTTTGTATTTAATGACAGAAACTTTGGGAACTTACTTCATTGAGTGAGCTTGCATTGTGAAGCAAGAGCCTACGGAAGGCACTTGTTCTAAATGAAAGTTCTGGTTCTGGAGGCTGGCAGCACCCTGGAGTTTCAGAGCAGCCAGTGGTCGCTCCAGTCAGTGATGCCTGATTGTGCAGAGGAGAGGTACACTGTGCACTCTTCTAGGTGTGAGGGTATGCAGCTTTGGATTTTAAAATTATGTACACATACACACTTTATATATATGTATGTATGTATGAAAACATGAAATTAGTTTGTCAACAATGTGTGTGTTTAGTATTTTAGCTTAGTGCAACTATTTCCACATTATTTATTAAATTGATCTAAGACACTTTCTTGTTGACACCTTGAATATTAATGTTCAGGGGTGCAATGTGTATTCCTTTTAGATTGTTAAAGCTTAATTACTATGATTTGTAGTAAATTAACTTTTAAAATATATTTGAGCCCTTCTGTAGTATAATAGGGCTCTTACAGGGTGGGAAGGATTTTAATTTTCCAGTTGCTAATTGAATAAAATGGCCTCATTATGTATTTTGAATTTTAGGAGTTTGCCTCTGGGTCCCAGGAGCATCTAATGGGAATGACAGTTTTAGGCAGATTGTGATGATTTTTTTCTTTAAGTAAGTTGGGAAGCAAAGCATTTCACATCCATGTAGACTCCTATCACCCATATTTCCTAATTATGTGGAGCACAGATTTCATTTTGATTTTACATATTAATGTGTTGAGAGAGGCAGACATTTTTCCAGAAACAAATAACACTGCACTTCTAAGGTTGCTATTCAGTAAAATAAAGAGAAAATTGTCAAATGATTTGGAATATGTAGAGGAAGAGGCCACGTTGGTCATGTCTTTTGCATGCTTATCTTTCACATACTCCGTGATGGAGAAATTCAGTTTAGACTTCTAGACCTTAGAATCAAGCTGGCAAGTGACCAGAAGTAAGTTATTACTAGTAGGTAAAGCACATGCTGATTCTCTTCATTTGAACCGCATGGTTAGTTAAAAAGTCACTTTCTCTAGAAAAGCAATGGAAAAATCTCTCCACCTCTTCCTTTTGATGGAATCTGGTCACAGAATAAGGCATTATAGTTAAGTCTAAACTGAGTCTTCTTGATGTTTAAGTATCCTGAAATAGCAGCCTAAAAGCAATCATTATGTAATGAAATTGACTTTAGGAATGTCAGCATTGACCTCTCTGTGCCACCATTGCTCAGCTAAGCATAAATTGCCATCCTTAAAAAAAGAAACAAAAAAGCTCTCTAAATGTGCATGGGGAAGAAAAGCTCCCACTCAGAAATTCTAGTAATCTGCAGTTTTGACCTGTTACCGATTACACGTGGGGTTTCTTTTCAGCTTTTAACCACTGGAATTTTCTACCTGCTATGTTCCTCCCTGGAAAATATGTTTGGAAATGCTGCCTTTCACATCTCTGCCATGGTTATCCATACTGTTGAGTTTGTTGTTGCTGTTCAAGAAGTGTCCCCATTTTATAACTTTATGCACACACCTGGCAAATCATTGACATGAGCATTCAACAGTACTGGGGTTAGGGTGAAGCGGGGCGGGGCTCACCACTAGAGCTGGCCCAATTGGCAATGCCTGAAAAGGCACTACTTTGGAGGACCAGATGTGAGGTTGGTTAGCACGGTTATGAAAATTTCTATCTAGCCTCCGTTTTGAATGGTTTTACGAAATTTTGTATATGGAGGATGGAAATGCTTATATATTTATTGAATCCTTTTATTTGAAATTAAAATTATTTGCTGAATAACGGTTTGATATTTGGGGAGGGTTTTGGAGGGGAAGTAATGCCGCTGATAAATTAAAAGCCTTGTTGATTTTGCAGAAAGGTACTGTTAGTGTCTGATAGGATGCCTTTGTTTTTGTACATGATCCAAATCTTTGTTTTACATTTCTTTTATCCAAAATATTTAGGCATCTGACATTTTCAACCAAAATTTCAATTATATACTGTGATTTTTATTTGTTGCAATACATTAAAATTTCAGAGGTACTTTGGGGCTCAAAAGCTAGGATTTCTAAGTATGTGCATTTCACATAATAAAGCTGTTAATGGTGAGCAAAGTATTATATACTAATTAGATTTTTCCACATCTGTATAGTATATTATATGTATTTTGTGGTATTGAGATTATAGAAAGTTTAGAGTGTCAAACATGCGTTTAATGTGTATTTTTAAACAAATTTATGGCAATTAAAATATTTGGAGACAAGGGTATCACATTTCAATTTGTAAAGATCTTTTTAACTCTACTGTGTCATTAAGATGCTTTGTATAATGCCAAACCATAGCTGGAGAAACTAAGTTTAATAAATATCAAATAGATTTTCTGTATTAAAGTTTATAAACACTGTGCTCTTTAAACTTCTTCAACTCTTACTTTGCCTTTTCAATGTAATTTCTGTTTTGTACCTTAGTGTCCACTGCTACTCTGCCTGAAAAATCTGGACCCCCAGTCCAGCTCTCATTTTCTGATTACAGAAATTCTGCACTTGATGGCTATGCATCCTTTTGCATACATCAGTTTGCCCTCCTCCAGCAGAAATCCAAAAAAGTCTTTTCTGCTGTCCTTGGGGGCTTGGGTTTTTATTTTTTTATTAAACTAGATTCTTCTTCCAGTTCTGCCTTCAGTTAAGTCCTAGACAAATGTGGGCACATCATCAGGTCACAAATGCCAGTCCATCTCTGACAACTCACTGAAGAGTTCTGACACGGAGTGAAGGACTAGCATCAGGGCCAGGGCCACAGCATGTGAACTTGCCAAGGCTAAATACATGGCTATTAGGAAACTTGTCTTTCAGCCTCTCATCGTGTTCTTTGTTTCTTAAATGTTCACTTTTACTGTGCTTTTACAGACTGCAAAGTCTGCTCTTAGGCAATGCTGGTTTTTTTTTTTTTTTTTTTTCTGTAGCATACAAAATGAACTGTTTTCAAACCCTCAAAAGTTTGAATTCCAGACTGCAAAAATTTTGAGACATTTAATAGTATACATAGAAAAATAAACTCTAAATTGACAAGTTTAGTAATGCTTATCTACATAACATTCTAAGAAGAAACGGAGACCAGTTTAAAGCGTACATCTGTCTTTAAATATTAAGACTGCTTCACTTAATTGTCTCCAGCCAAAATGCAGTTAATCAATATTCCATAGAACGGAGCATTGTTGTAGGTGAGCGCTGTCCTCTTTTCCCCTGGTTTGTACATCATTCCTGGACCACATTTAGGGAACAGCGTCTTTTTCTAAAGGAAAAGAAAGGGTGGTTTTTAAGACAAAGATCTAGCAGTGCCCAGAGCCAGTCACCTCTTCACATTTCCTTGCTCTGCTTGCTCTAGCCAACCTCGGGGTAAACTGCAGAAAGCAAAGGAACCACTCTCTAGTGGTACCTGTGTGGAGCTGTTCTTGGTTCTTGAATCCCAAGGGATTCACCAGGGAGCTCCAGGCTACAACCCAGGCAATCGCCTGTTCCACTTTTATTCTTAGGTAAGTGTGTGTGCTGATCCTTCCTCAGCCTGCGCTCAAGTTTGTGGAATACCTGCATAGCCTTGTGATACACTCGGAATCGTCCCGGCAAGAGGATCCAATGGGCCTGAGGGAGACCCCTCTCCAAAACGGGGTCATTCTCCGTGACCTTCTCTTTGTTGAACTCAGTTCCAGTACCGGGGAGCCATCTGCCTGTAGGGCAAAGACAAATTAACCTCAGGTATGGAAGCGCTGACACCCATCTGCACACCTTGGGCGATTGATGCTGTAGACTCCAGAGCAGAGGGACCCTTCCTCAGGGCTGAGTCCCGTTCTCAAGGTCTGCTTACAATTTCCCCACCAGCACAGTCCCTGCACATCCACTTCCTACCTGGTTCAACAGCAGCAAGCAGATCATGAGCACTGCAAAGAGCTTGAGGTGCCGCATCTTGCCGGAGGGAGGTTGTTGGAGCCCGGAATCCAGCAACAGTTCCTACTTGCTTTTATAGACTGAAATTCATCTCTTTTATGGTTGCCAGGTGAGATGGGGGCAAAGTTTATATTTGCAGTCAGGGTCGATTTAATAAGTTAATGTCTACCAGAGGAATGTGCTCAGGGCCTGCCTTTCAGGCACGTTGTATTTACTGATCCCTCATTTGGACTTTGAGTGATTATGTTGCTGGCTTGGACCCTTTTACCAAAAGTCAGCACCAACCCCTCCTTCCCTTTGAAAGCCACGTGAAGCCACTGAGGGAAACCAGGCACCTAGCCACATTTTGATTCCAAAATAGCTCAGTGAGATCAGTGTAATCAAAATAGAAGTCTCAGTGAGGTCTTCGTGTTGACGCCTTTCAACCTTGTCTGGGAAAGAAGCACCAATCTGGTGTTACAGGCAACTGGATAAGGCCCTTACCTCCCTTCTGTGGGAAGTTGCTTCAGCAAGTGTGACCCAACAGTGCCCCAGATCCCCCTTCTTCATAGATGATTTGTCCTAGTTTCCTGCTCCAGATCATCTCCCTAGAAGAATGGACCAAGCTGTGGCAAGTTCAAAGTCTAGCCTACCTGCCTTCTCCCCAGGGCAAAGGCAATCGATACTGATGCAGGACTTGAACTGTGGTTGAATAGAATGGAATATAGGTTTTTTGTTTTGTTTTTAAATGTGTGAATGAAGAGTTAGCAGGGCCTCCTAAGCCAGTGGGATTGCCTGATGGTGGTGACAAATCACACTGCAATCTTTGAATTAATGGGTTTTCCTCACACTAGTTGACTAGGTCCTTCTGCAGAGCATAGCATTCCAGCAGCTTCAGGGGAACAGACCAAGCACGGAGATGTCACTAGAGCCCAAAACATCCATCAACTTAAGTAGGACCTATTGCAGATCACTAGAACAAGAAAGGGCATGTGCCTAAGTTGTGAGGTATTGTGGGTAATCATTAAATGACCTGGGCATTTTCATAAATTTGGAGGAATAGTGTAACTTTTGAGTAGGAATTATAGGACTTAAGAGCTTCCTATGACTGGAAGGATGAGCCAATAAGACGAAGGTAACAAGATTATTTCTCTGACTGGTGTCTCTGATACCTCTTCCCAAGGCCTGTGTCATTTTCAGGGGTTGGATATTTGGTTTGAGCCTGCCTGTTCCACAAGTTAGAGTGGAGGAGATGAGGCTCAGCTGAAGGTGGAACAGGATGGTCACCAATCCTCTTGTCAAGGGAGAAGAGAGTGGTAAGGTGAACCTCAGAACTGGAACAGGGGAAGATGGGGGTGTGACTCCACAGATCTGTCTGTCCTGGTTCTGGTCAACTAAGGACCATGGAGCCAAGCCCAGAGGGAGACACCACTGCTTGCACTTGAGGAACATGGAGAAGCAGACTAGTCACTGCTCCTTCCCTTTACCCCTGTGCTTGGATGTTGAATCACCCCATGTAGGGGCTTAACCAGGAACCTCTGTGGGGTGGGGAAGAAGCTATGTGATGACCTAGTGAACATTGGGTAAGAACACAAACCTGATTAGATAAGCAAGAGACTGAACAACGTGATGTCCTAGAGACAGTTGGGTCTGGTGTGGCCTCGGTGCCAGCCTGTTCTTAAGAGAGGGATATGCCAAATGGGATTTGGAAACTGCTAGTTCCAAACACGGGTACTTTCTCCTAATCCTCCATTTCTGCCTCCCGCTACCGCAAGCAAAATCAAATTAGCCTTTTGTGTTAATTTATTACACAGCCCGTACCCCAGCCAAGGAAAGGGCCTGAGGCTCCAGTGTGCATAGGGGAAAAGAATAAACCATTTTTCAACATGAATGTGACAACACTGCAGAAGCCTTTAGGGTTTGAGCCTCTAATTTTGTATGCCACTTCTCCCTAAAGAAAAAAGCCCATCAGTTACTGCCCATGGAAAGGACTACTGCTAGGAAAAATATTTTTTTGTTGTTGCTGTTGTTAGATACAGAGAGAGAGCAAGCAGGAGGAGCAGCAGGCAGAGGGAGAAGCAGGCTCCCTGCTCAGCAGGGAGCCGGACGCAGAGCTCAATCCCAGGACCCTGAGACCACGACCTGAGCCGAAGGCAGATGCCTCACCGACTGAACCCCCCCCACCCAGGCATCTCAGGAAAAGTATTTCAACATATGTCTACATTACCTCTGTCACTGTTTTAAATCAGCCATGGAGCAAAAATCAGCTTTGAAAGCGAAGTGGCATCCAGACAATTGTCCACAGCCATCCCACAGTCCTTGAAATAGTTGTGAAATCCTACTCCTGAAATTAATAATTTTAAAAAATTCATGGGCTCTCTACAGTCAAGTATTTCGCTGAATGAATAAACACACAACTCTATATTCCTTCTTCCAGCAAAAAGGTCTAAGCAGCATTTACTAATGTTAGCCATAGAGCAAACACTTGGCTGGGAGGCAGGAGCGGGGGTTCTACATTAACCACACGCCAACCCTTTCTCTTAGAGCTTTATTCTTTTGTTCTCCCAATGAGATGGCTGAGGCCTCTCAGCCACTGACATTTGGGGGTTCAAATGATTAATTTACAGGAAGAAAATGAGAAGCATGTTTGATAGTGATTGCTTGGTAACAACTCCCAGAGATTTTCCACCGCTGAGGTTAAGTGCAGAGGATGAAATGGGAGAAAGTGGGTGTAGCTCCGTGAGCAGTTTGAAATACATTCCAGGGGGAGAGGAGACCATGAAGGCTCGGCAGTAACTGGAGACTTTCCTGCTGTCCCTGAGTAGATGTGCCTAATAAAAAATGAAAGACTCTGAAATGGAGAAACTTCCAGGTAAAACTGCAAGGGTCAAAGTGTATTTGCTTTTCTGGGGCTGGACCTGGCACAGACTTTCACAGCCTACACTAGATAGGCCTGCATCTCTGGGACTTGGTTGGCAACCTGGAGTCCACTTTGCCACATTGTACAGCGCAGAGATAAAAGCCCTGGTGGGGGTAGGGCCCCGCTGAGGACAGCAGAGTGAAATGAGTGGCTGTGCCCTGGAAGCAGAGGAAGGCGCCACACCCAGGGCTGGAGGCTCCATGTGGATGGTTACTGGCATTGCGGCCCACAGCAGTGGTCCCTTTCTTCCCTGAGAGATTTCACTCGTTTTCCTTTTCTTTGTAGATTTCGGCAGACAGAATGGTCCCTAAAATCATCCCAGATCCGGGGCACCTGGGTGGCTCAGTGGGTTAAAGCCTCTGCCTTCGGCTCAGGTCATGATCCCAGGGTCCTGGGATCGAGCCCCACATCGAGCCCCACATCGGGCTCTCTGCTCGGCGGGGAGCCTGCTTCCCTTCCTCTCTCTCTGCCTGCTTCTCTGCCTACTTGTGATCTCTATCAAATAAATGAATAAAACCTTAAAAAAAAAAAATCATCCCAGATGCCATGTCACATACAGGAGCACTGAGCTATACAACTCACCACGTTCCAGCCTCCCCACCTACCTCAGCACCCTGCTACACAGGGCTCTGTGCCCCCCAGCTTAGAGAAGTAAGCCCTTTGGGGAAAGACAGGCTTACAGCAGACTTTCATAATTTTCTTCAAAGGCAGCTCAGCAGGTAACCGGGCTTACAGCAGGATCTTCAGAGCGCTCCTGGGATAGAAAGGATTCAGACCCATACTTGGTGCCTGGTCACCTGACCTGAGCTGAGAAAGGGTACATTTGCTTTTCAGCTGTTATATCCAAAGGAGCCAAGGAACAGAAAGAAATAAAGTCTTGTGGTAAAATGAAGCCAAGAAGATGGGAGAGGGTAGCCATCTCCTCAAAGATCGGGGCTAGCCAGAGGGAGAAAGACAAATGAAAGGCCTGTCAACGAAGTAGCTTTCGCTGGTGCTGTTCAAACTATGTAGTTGGTTAAATGCCTGGCTTTGGCTCAGGACATTATCCCAGAGTCCCTGGACAGAGTCCCATGTCAGATTCCCTGCTCAGCGAGAAGTGTGCTTCTCCCTCTGATCCTCGCCACTGGGCACCAGCCCCCTACCCTGTACTCTCCCTCTCAAATAAGTAAAATCTTAAAAACAAAAACTATGTAGAATGAAGGATGGGTGGTGCATTTACATCTTCAGGTCCACAGCTTCATCGGATCCTCAACAGTCTATGACCCAAACATGTAACAAACCCTGAGAACAAATACAGAGAGCCCAGGAAAACTGGACCATGTTGGGTGAGGCAGGAGTTTTTTTTTTTTTAAGATTTTATTTATTTGACAGAGATCACAAGTAGGCAGAGAGGCAGGCAGAGAGAGAGGAGGAAGCAGGATCCCTCTGAGCAGAGAGCCTGATGCGGGGCTCAATCCCAGGACTCTGGGATCATAACCTGAGCCAAAGGCAGAGGCTTTAACCCACTGAGCCAGCCAGGCGCCCCCAAGGCAGGAGTTTTCATCAGTTGTTCTCTGTTAAGCCTGCCAGACTCCTACAGATCACTCATTCCACCATTACCACACCCTATGGCTTTGTATTAATACATTGTCTTCCAACAAAAAGGTCAAAGCTCAGGAACACATGTTTCTTTCTTGTATCATACAGTTGAAGCAGCACAGGTTAAGGGTATGGGCCTAAATTCACCAGAATCAGGTTCTTTATGCTGCCTCCCAATCAATGCAATTTACATTACCTTTTTTTGTTTGTTTTGAAGTATTTTAACTTCAGTTCCTAACAGATGAGAATAATCATTAGAATAGGAAAAAAATTACAGCCAGAAGCTGAACTACACTGTAAAAGTTACTGCTCTGGACAAGCAACAAGTATCCTTAGAAGTGAGGAAATTTCTGAAAATGGAGCAAAGAACCAGAAGCATAAAACTACCAACACCTACCTCTACCATCTCCAGGTGGAGGAAGGGTAGCTTTCTACTAAAAAGATAATTTAAAGGCTTTAAAACAGGGATAAACTTTTCAGTAAAGGGCCAGAGTAAACATTTTTAGCATTATGGCCCACTATTACCAACCTGGTACAAACACAGGCAGTTTAGCTCTAGAGGCCAAGGGGTGACCTCACCCCCTCCTCTTTTTTTTTTTAAGTTTTTATTTATTTGACGGAGAGATCACAAGTAGGCAGAGAGGCAGGCAGAGAGAAAGGAAGGGAAGCAGACTCCCCTCTGAGCAGAGAGCCCGACGTAGGGCTCCATCCCAGGACCCTGGGATCATGACCTGAGCCGAAGGCAGAGACCTTAACCCACTGAGCCACCCAGGTGCCCCTCACCCCCTCCTCTTATAGCTGACTTCCTTCCCCTTGGGCTAAGGCAGACCTGTCTTAGCAGGAAAAGCAGTCTAGTATAGCTTTAAGAGCAAAAACTTTAGTGCCAGACTCCACCATTGATTAGCTGAGTCATTTTAGTCAAATTACTTACTCTCACTGCGCTCCCGGGTCCTCATGTGCAAAACGACTGCAATAACGATACCTAATTCAAAGGTAGTTGTGAAGTTTACAAGTACTTATTTGTGTAAAGGGCTAAGTACCTGAAACATAGTAATTATAGTTACCAAAATATTATTGTTATTATGGGAGGAGACCACTGGGAACCAACCCCACAGTTCATCCCACACACAAGTGAAAAGCTGCAGGAGTAGATGCCGCTAATTTCTTGTAGATTATAGAACAAGCACAGAGTCCAGATCCTTTACCAGACTCGCAGACCAGCCAAACTGTTCAGGACTCAGGCTAGGAAGGGGAGGTCATGAACTTAAGCATCAGCAGTCACACCAGGGACTTGCTCACAAAAATGCAAAATCACAACAGTGCAGTCCATAAGAAGTTTATTACGTCTTCAAGACACTACAGTGTAGACTCCTCTCCCAGAGAAGGGTCCCTCATACACCGGTAATCACTATTCAGATGAATGGCTCACTTGTCGTTTTCATAGGCAGCTGGATTCTTCCTCTTGGATTTCTCAAACTCCTGGGTCCCCCAAGTGTAGACAAGATAAAACCCTACAAACGCTTTAAAAATAAAAAGTGAAAGTAGCAAGCCCATGAAGACACCAGGGTTCTCAGTCTTCTTTTCTGACTCACTTCAGGCTCCGCCCTACTGTCTCTAGTTTCCAAGAAGCCACTTTTAAACCAGATGATCAAGGAAGGTTACACCACACTCCCATTTTACAGGTGACCAAAAGGACGGCCCATTCCAGGAAAATCCATCACCAAAATTTCCCTCTCTCTCCCCAGATGCACATTTAAAAAAATGTTAGTGAGATAGATGAGATGTAATGCACGTAACATATACTTCGCCCTTTAACACGCCGGTGCACCCTTCTTTGGGGTTCCGGGGAGTTTTTGACCAATTCACAATGCTCTGTTACTATCATCAGTATCTGCTACCCATTTCACACAGAACAGTTCCTCGCTACCAAGTGGGTAAAGATGACCTCAGAGGGAGACGCCGGAATCACACAAGTGACCTTGGGCCCGCTGTTCGTGACTCGGTTTGCTCCTCTGTGAGATGGGGAGGATACACTTGTGCAAGGGCTTTCAGGAACACTGAAATAATGGAAAACGTGTGTGTGGCAAGCAGAGGGAGCTCAATGAGGGGGCCCGCTGTCACTCTGTCTAACCGGGGTCCAGCCCCCCAACCGGGCCAAAGCACTCACGGGGCACGACGCGAAGGGCGCACGCCCGCGTGCGGCGGAGCACGTTGGGGATGCCCTTGCTGAAGTAGTGCGGGAAGGCGCGCTGCTCGAAGGGCGACAAGCTGTAGGTGATCACATGCCGCATGCGGGTCAGATTCCCAAACGTGCGGCCCATGGTCGCGGCGGCGTCTGCAAGACCGAGGGTGGAAGGGCGCTTGCCTCAGTCCCGGGACGCGCCGTCCTGGACCCAAGACGCCCTCTCCAGAGCTCCTCACCCTTCCCCGCCCAGGCGGCGCCCCCACCCTCCCACGGACTCCCACTACCGCGCGCCCGGACCTCACTCCCGCGCGGGGGGTCACCTCGCCCTCCACAGTCGCGGGAACCAGCAGCCTCCGTCCGTCACTTCCGCTAGGTTTGGAAGCCGCTCCAGGAAGCCGTGAAGTCACTTCCGGGGAGTACCATTTTCCAGGCGTCTCCAGGGGGAGGCGCCGTTGCTGCCCTTTCTGCAGGGAAGTGCCCCGGCCGGTCGTGGTGGCCCGGGAGGGGGCGGGGCCCAACCTGAGACTCGGAGTAAGCAATGGGATTTGCTGCCTCGGGCCGCCGCAGGAGGCTCCCCTGCTTCCTTTCAGCCTCTTTCCCGGCTGTGGAGCCGCAGGAAGCGGCCGGGGCTGGGAGGCACAGAGAGGTGCAGAGAGAGGGGCCAGCCGGCGTCGAGGGCGCGTTGTCCCGGCCGGGCCCTGAGGGCCTGCGAGCCCAGCGCCTGTGGAGAGCACCCTGAGGCCGTAGGAGGGGCCGCCGCTCGCAGCCTTCTGCGCTCTGGTCCAAGCGCTGAAGGGGTCGGTTCTTTTCAGAACATCAGCGACCCATTACCAGGATCAGGGACGTGCATCTGGGGCTTCTCTCGGCCGCCGCGATCCGAGAATCCACTGGCGGGTCTCAAACTTTCCCCGGGTAGAAGAAAAGCGTTTCCTCAAGTTGCGTCCCAGGAAGAGTTCCCAAGGAAAGGGCAAACATATGATAACCGGCCGTGGGTGGCGGTAGGAGAAACGAGGCGCCCTCCATATTCGCCGGCTTGCCACCACCTCCCACCCAGGTCTAGCCGGGGGCAGGCTGCGGTGCCGGGTGGGGCGTGTCTGCCGCCCACGCTTCACTGCCGCGGGGGCGTTCTCGGCGTTTCCGAAAGTACTTTCTACGGAAGGATGCTGCGGGCCTGGCCTTTCTGCCTGACGCAGAGCGTCTGTAAATGTTTTTGTTCACGGAATTGCCAGCCATATGTGATGTTGGAGTAAGCTGTCATTCAACAGTCTGCGTGTGTTTTATGGAACCCTGCCTCCTAGCCTGGGGCCAGAGAGTCTTGGCAGGCAATGAGCTTAAAACGTGCAGAACGTCCCTCAGTTTCATCAACGTAGGTACTGCACTGACTGCTTCTGAATCTTGTACCATGAGTGTGGGTTGACTTCCTTCCAGCATGGTCTCCTCACGGGTGCGCTGGATATGCCCTCATTTCAGTCTTTCATGGTGCACCTCGTTTTCCTAAAACATCATCTCTAGCTTTGTCTCAGCTCCAAGAACATAAGTCCTATACCAAGGACAAGAACACCCTAGCGAATTAAATTAATTTTTAAAAAACTGTGAAACCCTGCAAACATCTCTAAACCTTTCAGCCAAAATATATACAGATAAGTGTGCAGACCAAAGCAAAGGATCAAGATATTGTATTTAAACATGAGTCAAGGTTTACGGCGATGTCCTTTTTAAAGAATATTCCAGTATTCCAAGTACATATTCTATTGGAAGCTCCCTGAACACTGGGCAACCCAACAGTTGTCTGCTCCCTGGAATTTCAATGCCAATTGCGACTTTTTCTCACTCTCCAAATAAGCATGCAACAAGTAATTATTCTAAGCACCTGGAAGCCAGAGAGGTGAGGAGGATGAAAGAAGAGGAAGAGTGAATCCAATACACTGCGTATCAACAGATCTTCCTATTATCATGAATAGCTTTCCCATTTGCTTTGGAAGTTTCAGCAAGCGTCTAAGGAACATTTTAAGAATCTTAATCTCAAAAAATAGGTGATTTTGAGATCATTTCTCAATTCTCTTGACCTTTTGGCTTGCATAACCAGTCCATTGGCGTAACAATAACTTAAAGAGTTTTAAATAAATCCCTCTTTAAAGGGGGGTGGTGGTTGCCTGGGTGGCTCAGTGGGTTAAAGCCTCTGCCTTCTGCTCAGGTCATGGTCCAGGGTCCTGGGATCGAGCCCCACATCGGGCTCTCTGCTCAGCAGGAAGCCTGCCTCCCTCTCTCTCTCTGCCTGCCTTTATGCCTACTTGTGATCTCGGTCAAATAAATAAATAAAATCTTTAAAAATAAAATAAAAGGGGGGGGGAGAAGAAAGAGAAATAACCAGAATGCATCCATATCTAATGAGGACAAATTGGATAAATAAGACGTTAATCAGCAGTTAGATGCACAGCTGACAAAAATTATCTTCAGCTAGGCATCCTTGAGGTCTGATTACAGAAGTGACCCTAGCCTACCTACACACCTAAAATTTATTTAAAAGACTGACCTAGGCCCTTCCTGGCTTTTTAGCAAGAAGACTGGTAGGGGGAAATGTATCCCTTGCTAGTTCTTCTAGGCCATGGCGCTTCTCAGCAACATCTTCCTTTGGTTTTTCTGCTTTTCCTGGCTGTGTTTTTCTACTAGGCTTGGTTCTCAGGCTTCTAGAGGAGAAACTCAGATTGCAGCTGGTGCTGAGTTGAAGTCTGAGGCTGAGCCTTGGTCCTTGCTGCGGCGTCTAGATGAAGGAGACAGATCTGACTTCCTTTCTCCTGTTTTCAAGGTTCTGTATGAAGGGCAAGGTGGCACCCCTAGGCTGCAGCCAGACTCCAGAGCTTTGCTCTACATGAAGAGGCTCTATAAGGCATATGCAACCAAGGAGGGAATCCCTAAATCCAACAGAAGTCCTTTCTACAACACTGTTCGGCTCTTCACATCCTGTGCCCAGCGCAAGCAGGCTCCTGGGGACCAGGCAACAGGTATGTAGAAGCAGATTCGTTAATGGGTGGGTGGGAAGATGATACAGTTGTCTGTATTTCAGTTACAGAATGGAGCTGGGCCTTGCTCCTTGAATTACTTCTTATTTTGCATAATTACTTTTTATTTTGCATGCATACTTTTTATTTTGTGTGATAGTATCCACACAAACAAATCTGGTAGTTGACCTTACTGTTTCTTTTTCATGCCCTCATGGATTAACGTGGGCTCATATGGTAGAAGTTTATCTTTTTTTTGATATTTTATGTATTTGAGAGAAGGGGAGAGAGAGAGAGAACATGACAGGGGAGAGAGTCAGAAGGAGAAGCAGGCTCCCCACTGAGGGACTTGATCCTGACACTCCTGGATCATGACCTGAGCTGAAGGCAGGCGCTTAACCAACTGAGCCACACAGGCGCCCCCATATGGTAGAACTTTAGAGCTAGAAGAGACTTACTGGCTCTAAAGACTGAGCAGAGTGTTGCTGGAGGTCAGCATCTTCTCCAAGGTCACAAAATCAAGACTGGAAACCAGGTATTTTAACTTCTGTTTTCTTATTCTCATTCTATCCATGCTGACCTGGAAATGTGCCTAAAACGTCTCCTAGCTACTGGTGTATTGTGTTAAATAGGATGTTTTCCTCTTGTTTGTTGCTTTCTGTGTGAGGAAAGCGGAAGACCGCATTTTTAACAGTAGGTCCTCCCAAGAACAAAGTGTTAGTCATCAATCTGACCCAGCACCTTGAAGTCCTGTGTGTGTGAGAGAAAAGAGCGGTGCTTTAAAACAAACAAACCTGGATTCACTAGCTCATGACCAAAACCATTCTAACTCAGTGGGTCAACTGTGGCTGTTTAAAGCCTTCCCATCTTCCTTGAGGTCTTATTCTACTAGAGTGGTTTTAAAGCTTCCATTTGTTGTTAATCTCAGGTGTTTCAAATTAGACCATTAAGTTCTTCATTGACTCTGTTCATTAGGTCTTAGAAAGTTTTCTTAACAAGGCTGGTAAATGTGTTTATTACAGTTACCTCTCTAGAGACTCTCCAAGAGAAAAATAGAATTTACTAGCTGTTTGGAGCCAATGGCTGAGCTTGGGAAACCAGAGATTGGGAAATGTAATGATTCTCCATTGTTTTTGTTCACCACCAAAACTGTTGTGAATTTCTGGTGATAAAATAGCCAGTCATACTCGCTGGCAGTTAGTTATGATGTCTGCGCCCTATATTTTCTCTAAAACTGACCCCCCCCAACTCCCTTTCTTAAGGCTGAAGGAAGTGGGGAAAGAGAAGGGAGGAAAAGCATGATGAAGGACACATGCCTTGACATGACTTGCTGTCTGGTTTTTGTATTAAAGCACTGCTGGTAAGTTGTTTTTCTTCTCAGGATCCGTTCCATCATTGGATCTGCTGTTTAACCTGGATCGTGTTACTGCCGTTGAAAACTTACTGAAGTCAGTCTTGCTCTATACTTTCAGCAACTCCATTTCTTTTCCCTCTGCTGTTAAATGTGTGTGCAACCTGGTGATCAAAGAGCCAGAGTTTTCTAGCAGGAACCCCCGTAGAGCTCAGTCCTCATTTAACTTCAACTTACAGTTTGAAATTAAAAAGAAATACAGATGGTTTGAGGTTGATGTGACCACTCCTCTTCGGCCTCTAGTGGCCTCCAACAAGAGAAGTATTCACATGTCTGTCAATTTAACCTGCGAGAGAGGCCAGCGGCAGGATTCTTCAGCCGGGGACAAGCCATTTAACGTGACTCTTCTGGTGCCCCCCTCACTGCTTTTATATCTGAATGACACAAGTGCTCAGGCTTATCACGGGTGGTATTCCCTTCGCTACCAACGGAGGCCTTCACAGCGTGCTGACCAGAACGGTGGTCTGTCTGTCTGCTCCAAGGAAGAAGGGTCGGCTGAGGGTGTAAGATCTTCCCGTCACCGGAGAGGTCGGGAAACTGTCAGCTTGGCATTGAACAAGCCTCTGGTTCCAGCTTCTTTGAATCTGAGTGAGTACTTTAAACAGTTTCTTTTTCCCCAACACGAGTGCGAGCTCCATGACTTCAGGCTTAGCTTCAGCCAGCTGAAGTGGGACAACTGGATCGTGGCCCCGCACAGATACAACCCTCGATACTGCAAAGGGGAGTGTCCCAGGGCAGTTGGATATCGGTATGGCTCACCAGTTCACACCATGGTGCAAAACATCATCCATGAGAAGCTCGACTCCTCAGTGCCAAGACCGTCATGTGTTCCTGCTAAATACAGCCCTCTCAGTGTTCTGACCATTGAGCCAGATGGCTCAATCGCTTACAAAGAATATGAAGACATGATAGCCACTCAGTGCACCTGTCGTTAACATACGGTTCTGTAAGCTAAAATCTTGAGCCTCTTCTGCAAAGGACACACTGTGTGCCTCTCTGCCTTCGAGGGAGACCGCTGTGTCAAATGGCTATAACCCACTCTGTGATGCGTAAGGATGTTGTGAGCACATCCTGGGGCCTCCATCAGTGTACAGTAGTAACATCTGCCTTTATTTTCAAATGTAAAAGAAATTTCTTTGGAGGGCTTTAAATTTTTGTTCCTGAGCGATTTTTTTTTCCTTTGCATTGGAGTCTTGTTTTTGATATAAGAAAAAAAATCTTAATGTAATCTTGGTTGGAATTGCAGCTCTAAATGAACAGTTCAGAGGGCTATTGTTTTATTTAATGGAAGAATAAATCCCTCTCAGTGGCATTAATTGACTATGTGTGTGCTTTTCTTTTTTTTCTTTTTTTTTCCTTTTTAAAGATTGCTTTTAAATGGTGTTTGGGGAGGGAGAAGAAGTATAATCTGTAAACTAGACTTGGCATAACTTTTTAGTTAAGAGAGGTTAGCTTTTCTACCTAAAACCTGGTGAAGGACATTTACTGGGACTGGAAGCATGTAACCTATTGTATTAGTGTGATAGGCTAATTCAGCTCTTCAGGTGGTATGTAGAAATAGCGTGGCTCACATCAAACAAAGTAACATTTGTCCCATTTATTTAATAGAAATTGCCTGGCAGATTTTTACAAGAAGATTTTTTGAATATTTTCTCCTTTATGTATTTAAAACCTCTGACCCTACGGAAGGAAGTCAGGGAACATTTTTTTCCTCTTTTCATTTTTGTTTGTTTTTGCAGATTTCCCTCAGCTCCCATCACTCCGCCCCCACAAATTTTTTCCAGGTGGATTTGGGAGTGTTGCCATTAAAGGAACCTGGCAGTGATTAGGTTACATTACAGAACAGGCCTGGTTTGTATATCAGGGCTTACATGCGAGTTTTCAATAAATCCTACCTTGGGAGAGTCTTAGAGGCCAGAGTTCGGACTAATGCAGTGTTGCTTGTTACAGGTTCATAACACCCTAATCTATAAAGTAACTCCTAAATGCAAGATATACTGTTAATTTTTTTTTAAGGTTTTTTTACTTGAGTAGCCTCTTCGCCTAACATGGGGCTTGAACTCAGAACTGTAAGATCCAGAGTCACTCGCTATTCCAAATGAGCCAACAAGGCACGCCATACTCTTCATTCTTTTTTTTTTTTTTTTTTTTTTTTTTTCTCAAAGATTTTCTTTATGTGACACAGAGAGAAAAAGAGAGCACACAAGCAGGGAGAGCTGGGAGGGAGAGGGAGAAGCAGGGAGCCTGATGCAGGGCTCAATCCCAGGACCCTGGGATCACGACCTGAGCCCAAAGGTAGATGCTTAACTGACTGAGCCCCCCAGGTGTCCCTTCTCATTCTTGTAAATCATCTTTTCTTAGTGGTTAGTGCTTACTGTCTGAGGAAGCCAGCTGGGACTTTGATCAGGATTGTTTTGAATCTGTAGATAAGTTTGGGAAGTATTAGCATTTTAACAATGTTAAATCTTGTAATCTATGAGCATGGGAAGCTTTTCCCTAGACTGAGGTCGTCGTTGATTGCTCCCAACAATGTTCTGTACTTTTCGAGTATCAGTTTTGCACTTTTTATTATTAAATTCTAAGTATTTTATTCTTGAGGTGACTGAGAATAGAATTCTTAATTTCCTTTTCAGTTGTTTCCTGGTGTGGTACTAACTTACATACAGGTCACAAGCCTGCACATACTGACAAAAATGCTTTTTAGCTGCTCAAAAACATTTTTAAGAAAAATTAGCCTGGAGGTGTCTAGGTGGCTCAGTCAGTTAAGCATCTGCCTTCATCTCAGGTCAGGGTCCAGGGTCCTGGGATGGAGCCCCACATCAGGCTCCCTGCTCCGCAGGGAGTCTGCTTCTCTTTCTCCCCTTTCTCTGCTTCTCTGCTTTCTCTGCTTCTCTTTCTCCCTTTTTCTGGCCACCCCCCACCACTTGTGCTCACGCTCATGTTTGCTCTCTCTTGCTCTCAACATCTTTTCTTTTTTAAAATTCCTTTTTTCATGATAAGTCTTCAAGATCTAGAATGTCTTTTTTTTTTTTTTTTTTAATATTTATTGGGGCGCCTGAGTGGCTCAATCAGTTAAGCCTCTGCCTCAAGCTCAGGTCATGATCCTGAAGTCTCTGGATTGTGCCCCATGTCGGGATCCCTGCTTCTCCCTCTGCCCTTCCCTCCTCTCTTGCTCTCTCTCTCTCACTCTCTCAAATAAATAAAATCCTTTTTTAAAAAATATTTTATTTATTTGACAGAGAGAGATCACAAGTAGGCAGAAAGGCAGGCAGAGAGATTGGGGGAAGCAGGCTCCCCGTTGAGCAGAGAGCCCAATGCGGGGCTCGATTCCAGGACCCTGAGAACATGACCTGAGCTGAAGGCAGAGGCTTAACCCACTGAGTCACCCAGGCACCCCAAATAAATAAAATCTGTTAAAAAAATTTATTGATTAGAGCACAAGCAGGGGGAGGGGCAGAGGGAAAGGGAGAAGCAGGCTCCCCACTGAGCTGGGGCTCTGGGCATGGGGCTCCATTCCACAACCTTGAGATCTTGACTTAAGTGAAAGGCAGAAGCTTAAACATTGGAGCCACCCAGGCACCCCTCAAAATCTTAAAAAAAAAAAAACATTAACAAAGGTAGTTTTAGATGGCCCAGTTTCCAAGTAACTTTGCCATCTTGTTGTTTAACCTGAAGGAGTCTATTCTGTTGTGAATGAGGCTGCCAGTCGAAGAGATGGTGTTTCAAGTGTTTTTGTCTCCTCTTCTGTCATTCTTCAGGGTAAAAAATAACTGGCCCGGAAAGGGCATGAGTAAAAGTGGTGATGTGCAATTGAACTTACTTGAAGGTAAGTCTCCCTTAAAGACGACTGTTTTCAGGGTGCCTGGGTTACTCAGTCATTAGGCAGCTGCCTACAGCTCAGGTCATAATCCCAGAGTCCTAGGTTGAAACCTTGCATCAGGCTTCCTGCTCAGCAGGGGAAACTGTAATCCCTTTTGTAATCTGCAAATATGTTCTATGATGGCTTCCCTGAACTTCTCCACCTCATCCTTGAGGTGACCATCAGGTCAGTTTAGTTAAGGAAAGTAGACCTACTACTTCTTTTTTTTTTTTTTTTAAGTTTTAAATTCTTTTAATTAAAAATTTTTTTTAGCAGACTTTTTTTTTTTTTTAAAGATTTTATTTATTTATTTGTCAGAGAGAGAAAGGGAGAGAGAGCAAACACAGGCAGACAGAATGGCAGGCAGAGGGAGAAGCAGGTTCCCCAACGAGCAAGGAGCCCGATGTGGGACTCGATCCTAGGACACTGGGATCATGACCTGAGCCGAAGGCAGCCGCTTAACCAACTGAGCAACCCAGGCATCCCAAGCAGACCTACTTCTAAGGTGGGAGAACATCCACTATTGTGATGACATGCCGTATTTAAGATGAAAAAAAAAAAAAAACCCTCATTAGATAGTATTAAATAAAGCCCAGCTTACTTGCCAATAGGCAGTTAGAAGTTTTGCCTCAATGTAGAAAAGCTGAGTTCAGTTGTACCTTTAAAAAGGGGAAAACCGGGTGCCTGCGTATCTCAGTCGTAAAGCATCTGCCTTAAGTTCAGGTCATGATCCCAGGATTCTGGAATCGAGCCCGCATTAGGAAGCCTGCTTCTCCCTCTCCCACTCCCCCTGCTTGTGTTCCCTCTCCCGCTGTGTATCTCTCTGTCAAATAAATAAAATCTTAAAAAAAAAAAGAAAAAGAAAAAAGCTGTTTTCAAATGGACCACATGAAATACATATTAAGTTAAAGTATTCCTTGTAATTCCACTAAACTAAAAGTTTTCTCCCCCAAAACAGGAGTTTGTTTTACTTTTTTTCATGGCCTAGTTCTGGTTGAGTATGGATATGGTCTGCAGTCTGAAGGTTTAGAAAAGAAGAAAAGGAGTTGTTCGGATGGAAGTTAAGTATTAGGGTCAATGCCAAAATTAGAGCAGGAGGAGAGTTCATCTTTATAGGTAATTTCTAAAGTTGACTTGTGACTAGTACTGAGAGCCTATAGTTGTGCAGTGATAACATGAAGAACTGTTAAATTTGGCTTCCCTGTTATTTTGGTAGGGTTTTTTTTTTTTTTTCCCCTCTTTAAGCTTTACTTGTTAATCTAGTTTCTTCATTCATAGGATAGTGTTAATGTTAAGAGATTATATATTTGCTAAATATAAGCTCCAGAGATTCTTTTCTGCACAACAGAGGAGGCTATACGAGTCTCCCAACTGCCTCCTCTAAATGAAACCTGTTTTTCTTTGGTGACTCTTAGAAATGCTGCCACTTTAGAAAAGAAATGAGAAAGAACAATGGTGATACAAATCTGGAAATTCAAGGATGAGGCTACATGTGCCTTAAAGAGATGCATTCAGCTTTGGTATTTAGTTCAGATGAGATAGGAGGTCAGCTAATGGGATGCCCATTTAGTATGCCAAGGAACAATGGGGCACATCAAGAGCTGGTTTTACCTTCAGCTCTGAGTTTCCTGTTCCTTATCTGTTTAAATCAACTCCTTTGTTAAATTGAATACTTGGTATTCAGTTGAACTCACCAGGTTCAAGGACACCAGCCACTGGACTTGGTTTAGATCTCAGTTTGGACGGTCTGTGGGGAAACATGAGGTAAAGGAGGAAGTGTTCATGGTTACATAAGTGATCAAAGAAAAATGCTCAGAGCTTGATATAAGTCACCAATTTTAATTTGTAACTTTAGGATTGTAAGTGATAAAATGATAAGTCAAATTAAAATACTTTAGATACTCTTTTAGAGGATGTTTGTCCCTCAAACGTTTCTTAATATGTCATTGACTAAAGGGATTGATAAAATAGAAAAGCATTCTGTTTTATCCATCAACTGTTCTCTAATAGAAGGAAAAAATCAACACAACCAGGAGATTGACACTTCATCCTTGACCAGAATTGATAAGTAGGTACTCTTTGTGTAATTACTTCTTGATGCAGTTGTCCTTCCCAAACCACAAATTAACTAGTTAATGTTTGGAAAGGGCCCTAATATGTTAGACCAGGGCTATTTCAGTAATTAAAGAATAGGATTTTTTAAGTGGTCTGACAGTATTTCTTTGTCCTACTTTTTTATTTTTTTTAAGATTTTATTTATTTGACAGAGAGAGAGAGATCACAAGTAGGCAGAGAGGCAGGCAGAGAGGGGGGAAGCAGGCTTCCTGCAGAGCAAAGAGCCCAACGCAGGGCTCAATCCCAGGACCGCGAGATCATGACCTGAGTTGAAGGCAGAGGCTCAATCCACTGAGACACCCAGCCACCCCTCTTTGTCCTACTTTAGTGTGTAGTGCAATT